AAAATCAACATTCTAGAAGTGCAAATAATTAAGAATGTCTATGGAGATTCTCAGTCATCCAGGTCATGGTTTTCCCAAAGGTGCTTTTCAAAAGGTAACTGGACTTTCTTCGTTTTTTTTCTTGAAAATGTTTTGCTACTCAATCAAGAAGCTTCTTCAGTTATGACTGAATGGTGGGGAATGGGAAGATATAGAAGAATATAAATCCTCCCATTCCCCACCATTCAATCAGAACTGATGAAGCTTCTTGAATGAGAAGAGAAACATCTTCAAGGAAAAAACAAAGTCCAGTTGCCTTTTGAAAAAACATGTTTGGGACAATCTCTGGAATTCTGGTAGAAACCATGTACGAAAACTTTTTTGGGGGGCCACTATTGTCTAGAGCAGTGATGGCAAACCTTTTAGAGACCGAGTGTCCAAACTGCAACCCAAAACCCACTTATGTATTGTCGGGTGCCGGGTGGGCGTGGACCACTGGGTGGGCATGGCTGCGGTGGTAACGGCAGACTGGGTGGGACTAAAAAATTCAATCAATCAATCCCAACTTTGTGAGATCTTTTTTTTCCCACGAGAAGTTGAAATTGGTTGATTGATTGAACTTTTTTTTTTTTTTGCACATGGCAGCGGAGGCCTAAAATGAAGGTTTTATAAAACCCAGCCCAGCTGAAGGCCTAGGACTGGGGTGATGCCACGTGTGCCCTGCATGCCATAGGTTCGCCACCACGGGTCTAAGAGTGCTTGCCAGCAAACAAAAAGGCATTCAGATGTATAATGTGCAACTATATATGGGATTTGTGCAATGAAAACAATTCTTTCTGTAAGGCAGAATTTTTTTTCCATAGGTTGCCGGGTCTTCCTTGCTATAGCATCTATGTGTTTACATATTCAGTAATTCTACCAAATTCCCCTTTAACAATGGCACTGTCATCTTTTTATCTTAATGAAGCACAACTGAAGTTGATTTTTCTGAAATTAGGATTCCTCTATAAATATTACACCCTGTATACTGCTATGTATAATGACTTCAAACAAGGTTGATCTTGTTTTAGTTACTTTGTATGGTGTGGACTCTATACCAACAAAAAACAGACAAAATGCAATTGTTGCAAATAGGCAATAACTTTTTATTTTTTTCTTCCACAGTATTTGCAACCCTTCCAACAAAAAGCAAATTCACCAACACTGAATTGTCATTCTGCATTTTATGCTTATTCTAGTAGAGAAAACCATTTGGTTTTTCTAAACCAGTTAATTTGCTTTTCCTAGCATTCTTATCATGTTCATCCCTTTGAAGGAAAGTGTTCCATATATAGTACAGCAGTTGGATACATTTTAAGTGTTTATGTTCATTATAGCATATTTCTTAATCATGTAGTTAGAATTATAGTCTTTCAGTATATCTGTTGCAACACTTAACAGTCATAACGATACTGTTTCTTGCCTTGCAAAATTACTAATGTGGCTATAACTTTATTATATGAACCATGATTTCTAGTTTCTGGAAAGACCAATCTTGGATATGCATTTTGCTGGTATAATTTAGCAATTAACTGCTCCAGTCACTTCAAGGTAGCCTTTCTTCAGCATATTTTAAATTAAATAAAGCTTGTTATATGGGTTGAGTGTTCCAGGTACAAAACAAATTTCAGGATTTTGTTCTGAATATGAAAACATCCTTGCCTGTTTCAAGCAGTAGCAATCAATCTTCCAATTCTCCCAAGTACTGTAATTGGACTAGTTTGGAGTATTTGATTGAACTATTTTTCATCCTTGTTTCAGCTTAACCAGAGTGCATGTGTACTTCACATCTCGTAACATTATCACTTATATAATCAAAAAACAACACCAAACCCTTTCATTCTTTAACCTAGCCTTCAGCCACTCCTTAGGGCCAAGCAAAAATATCAGGAAAGAACAAATTGATCCTACAGAAACTACCCTGAGGTATTCAGAAAGTCAAGACTTTTATTTTTTATTTTTTTTAAAAATGAAACTTTTAAGAATTAAACAATTTAGATATTGAATGGAATATTAGGTTATTGATCTGTTTCCCCTACATTTGGCTGACCAAACTAGATTTTATTTACACAAATAGAAAAGACCTCTCCTTTTGTGAATCTGTTACTAACTAATGGTTATCTGAATACTTTTTTTCAACTTAATGTGTTCTATGAAGACTTTTATTGTTTTAAAATTGTTTAAAAATTTTAGTGCTTAGGCCTATTTTTTCAATTTGAGTTTTAGCAGTATACAACATGAACTACCACTATTACTGAGGCCTTGAAGAGAGAAATAAGGGACTGCAGCTATATTGACGTTCCTTGAAATGTTTTTTAAAGAGTTTTTGTTCTTAGAATGGAAGGAATATTTCAACACTCAGACACAAAGCTTCAGGTAGAGCTCCTTTATTCCAAATTCAAAAGACAACACCTTTATTATTTGAAAAACACTTTTTTTCTCTTTATCAAAGTCCTTATTTTATTATGGCAATACTAATAACAAAGATCCTGGTGTATATTTGGGTACTTTATTTCAATATACTACAAGTAGATTAGGATAAAGAGATTGATTTTTGATTGTGGAAAATAAGATGACTGTGCTGCAAAGAGTGAACATCATGCACAAATATGAAGCCCAAAGCAAGAAAAAATTAAAAATGATTAGATGAGCATTGAACCCAAAATTATAATAGTATGTCGGGTAGGATAACTCCTAGTATCTTCAAAGAGGGATATTTATGGGTTTATAGCAATAATTTTAATAAAACACAATTATTTGCTTGTTTACTTACAAGTACAGCGAAACCTTAATTTATAATACTTTGACTAAATAAGCTTTGGACACAATAGAGTAAACTCCAATACAAATTGTTTAATTTAAATAACATCCAAATGACTTATTCTTTGATTTAAAGGCTTTTGAGAATAATGGATACTCTCAAATCTATTAAAATGGGCTTTTCTTGTGAATTGTGTTAAGTAGAATTTGATCCTTTGTAAAATGTTTACAATTATGTCATTAAATATATATAGCTAGATCTTTAAAAATGACATATTGAAACTTTTGGAGAATGTGCGGAATGAACTAAGTATCAATTATTTTTTTTACTAATTTTAAAGACATGAGTAATCCATGTATTATGAAAAATAACTATTAAAAGTTTCAGCAGTAGCAATAGCACTTAGATCAGGGGTCTTAAAACTTGCCCCTTTTATGACTTATGGACGTCAACTCCCAGAATTCCTCAGCCAGACATGCTGGTTGAGGAATTCTGGGAGTTGAAGTCCACAAGTCATAAAAGGGACAAGTTTGAAGACCCCTGACTTAGACTTATATACTGCCCATAGTGTTTTACAGCTCTCTCTGGGCCGTTTACAGTATCAGCATATTGCGCCCAACAGTTTATGACAAGGGTATCAAACTCGCAACATTACATGACGTGTCGTGACTTTTTTTCCATTGCCGGCAATGGAGTGGGCGTGGTTTCGGCATGAAGCATCCGGCCTGTGGACTGGCAGTTTGACACCCCTGGTCTATGAATTCTCATTTTACTGTCTTTGGAAGAATGGAAGGCTAAGTCAACTTTGAGCCCTCCGTCAGGATTGAACTCCAGGCTGTGGGCAGTGTTTGCCTGCAATACTGCATTATAACCACTGTGCCACCGGGACTCTTGAAAAATATCACATTTAACCAAACCAAAGTTGTTTGAGGTAAAGTAAAGTAAATACAAAATAGTAACAGAACAAATTCCAATATATTAAGTATCATGAACATGGCCAAAACTACTAACATGCCAAATGGAAGCACATTTTAACTTGACTTGGTAAGCTCTATGAAGATATGCCAATTTTCTGAATGGTAAAAATACCCACAATGTTTATAACAGTCTGGCCTTTTTAAAATCACTTCTTCAGATTATTACAGCAATGCACCTACAGTGGTTACTTTTAAGGCTGAAGCTATTAAGATAAGCACCTGAGTGGTTCTCTGAGGGGAATATAATTATATATCTCCCACTATCAAGGCTAAGAAGAGAATGGCCTCATTTCCATTAATACAAACAGAAGGGGCCTAGAATTTAAACTCTGGAGAAAATAGATACTATAATTATGGTTCGTTTTTGTGTTCTGCAATGCACTGATCTTTTGACTATATGGCTTTGATTGTACTTACAATAAAGCAACTTATCTGTCATAATTGAAAGCTTCTAGAGTAAGAATATAGTGTGAGTGAAAGGTTATGATTTATAGCCACTAAAATTCTTTTCATTTGTTTTTTAATAATATAATAGGTGGGAGGCACTGAATATATAAACTGGACATGTGGCTCCATACATGCAAAAGACTCTATATGTTTTCTCTATAGATTCTCTCTTTTTTATTTCAAAATACTTATCCTATTCTATTCTAAATAGCCTTGAGCTGAATAGCATGTATACTGTTATTATTGACAAAAATAACATTTTAGATACTCCATTATTTCAAAGCCTATTAAATGAAGTTTATTACATCTTCTCTTCAGTGAAAGGTATCATGCCTGAATTGTGAATGAGCAACTAAATTCAAACATCAAAGGCACAGTACTTCAGCATTTCACTGGTTGATCACAAAACACATATTGAATTCTTCCAATATAGCATTTGGAGCATTCTGGCTAGATTTAGAAAATAAAATACAAAACTATTTTTTAAAGCTAATGCTCAAAAATATTTAGTTAATCATGGTCCTTATTAAACTTACATGAAACACATTACATAGATTTATAATACAGAAGAAATCAAAGGGAAGTTATATGTACAAAATTGAACAGACAAAATTAGTTTTTACAATTTCCTTCAGTTTTCCTTGCCCTTCTATTTGTACCTACCTAAACCATATTGAAACTGTATGAAAGAACATCTCTTTAAAATATTAAATGCCTTTGATTTTATACAAATAGTAGCAACATTTAAATACTGTATAGCAAAAACATTTTTAGACACAGACCAGTACAAATTTAGATGCATTTACCACTTTTATTTTACTATGCAGAAACATACATTCGCCATGTATTGTGATGAAACTGACAGCATAAAGAACATTGGATCCTTTTAAATTGATGTGATAATAAAAATGAAATAATGCTTTTTAAGTGTTCTGTACGGTTTAAGGCTTAACTCTGACCTAAGTAAGGAACACTGACTAGACTTGCAAAAGAAACTTCTTTGTCTGAGAGTGGACAGGACTTGGTTTTGAAAAATCATGTTTTCAAGATGAACATATCTGAGATGCTAAGGAAAATATACATTTTCTTCAAAATAATCACAATGCAAATTTATAGATTGAGACTTTAGAAAAGTGACGGCAGGATTTCTAACTTTAACAATTCTAAAAATCATTAGCTATTAAGGGTCCCAAATCAGATAAACAAAGCATATTTTATGAGCATTTAAATAAGGTTAGAGATTCAGCATTGTTTATAGAACAAGAATAAAACCAAATTATAACAAGTATATGATTCAAGTTATTTGTTGAATAAAGTATGTTATTGGCACATCTAATGTAATAAAACATATATATATAGTACCTGTACAGCTTCTAGTATTGTAATGTGATCTTGATTTTCCCTAAACAAAACTTTGCACCCCAAGAAACTGTGTTTAGACTCTCAATAATAGTAAAGGCATGAGCTGTTTTATGTGTAGCATAATACAATTATTTTAACTGTTGATGAACGTGCCATTTAGATGTAAAGTTGATTTAGGAAAATAAAAATGCTGCTTTTTTGTAATTTGTTGTTTCATGCAATTATTAGATTATTAAAGCTGATTCAAATTGCTGTAACTGGGGGAATTTCTGCCAGTGTCCTTAATTAGCAATTAAAATCAAAATCTTCCACATTGAAAATTTCTCTGGAGAGATGCAAGTCAGCTGGGTTAGAACCAAGACTCCATACAGGCTCTGATATTCCCAGTGATGAAGTTCATAGAAAGCTACTCTAATCCTGCAGTAGAGAGAGTATAGTTATATTCCATCAATAATAAATCTAAAATAGTAAATAAAGTCACAAAAAGAATTACAAATATTTCTATACAAGAGAACTCTTTAAGGCTGATGCAATGAATCATAAAAGTAAGTTGAGTTCAGATCTCTATTTTCTGAAAATCTATACAATTATATTGATGGTCTTTTTAATGAGAGCCTCTTGATGACAAATCTATATTTATAAACAATGTTCCAGATTCAATTTTTGACAACTGTAATGAAAGGATATAAAGTATATGCACTGGAAAGATTTGATATTTGGAATAACTAACGAAGTAGTTATTACTGGCCATGTAGAAAAAGCCTTGATTCAATATAAGTTAATAACACATGTAACACGGCATATAAAAATAACTGCTATATGTACGCTACATAAATACTTGTCATTCCCAAATGTTCTGCTATAAATAATTCCATTAATTTGTTGTTCAGGCTCTGTTTGTAGACTCATCTTTGTTCCTTCTTCTCTTTTCATCTTCCTCACATATTGCTAAAGCTACAGCAACTGATTTTTGAAAATTCTAATGTTTCATGAAGTAACACATAATATATATGGACATAAGGAAAACTTGTTTGAAATTAAGATTATACTATAAATTCAAACCAAGTAAAAGCCATCTCCTATTTTTACACACAAAATTCAGCTTTTGTAGACTATGCAATTGTCACTAAATCTTGCAACAGCATGTTAATATGCCAAACATATTCTAGCACATGCATATAGTAACTGCATTTAACACTACAATGCTAATTTAGCAAGAATTTGTCGGCATGCCTTTATTCAATCACAGCAACAAAAAAATGCATATCATTGTCTCTTTTTAAGAAACAATCATAAAAATTGCCAGAACATATTAGGAAACTTAGAAAAATGAAGAGTTTAAAAAAGGTTATCCACAAACAACTTTGCAGTTGAAACTTAAATACTGGTATTTCAGTTCAACATACTTGCAAGCTTTCTCAGGCAAAACAGTATTTTACAATTAGAGAATATGCTTTTTTTGCCCACAAACTGTGCATAAGCAATCTTCAGGATTGTCAACTACAGAGCTACTTCATGGAAAATGCATAGCAACTAGCAAGCAGACATAAGCAAATGGGTTTCTCCTATTTCTCTAACTGGCATTAACATGAAGAAAGAAAATGTTCTACTCCATTTGTTGTTAGTTGCAAAGTTGTGTCTGAGCCATTGTGACCCCATGGACAACGTTCCTCCAGCCCTTTCCTGTCCTCTACCATGTTCTGGAGTCCATTTAAGCTCGTGCCTACTGCTTCAGTGACTCCATCCAGCCACTTCATAAAGTTAATCTAAATAGCCAAATCATTCTTTTTTTTTTTTTGCACAAAGCATAGTACAAATGCCAGAAAGAATAAATAGAAAGGAATAATGATGGGTTCAGGGAGAAGGAATGATTTTTGTCACATGCCAGTCTGTGAGTGCCTGGAAAAAAAAATCTAGTCCTCTTACCTGTAGTCAATCCTCCCCATCTTCTGGTGTGATTTCTGTCTCTTTATGTACCACTACTTTGGTCACTGACATGTCAGGGTGCTGCTCTTTGGCCTCTTTAATTGCCTGAGCCAGCGCCTAGCATAAGGAAACCACAGAAGGGCAGAAAGGAGAAGGAGGTGGAACATGCATGATCAGTAGCAAGGTGAAGAGAGATTCATGATTAAATTTACAATTTCCAAATGAGGAAATGTGACTCAAAATAGACATTTTACATTTGAACTGAATTGTAATATATTTTAAAGACCTGCTGATACTAAAATAGACTTTTAAACTTACAGAAAAATAAGACTAATTGGGAGCCAATTTTAGAAGCTTACACGTCATACCTGATCATGGTCAATGTCTGCATCACCCGTTATCACAATTCGCTTTTCAATTCTTGTCTCTGAAATGCCTCCTTTCACTGTCTTAAAGGGGGGAAAAAAAGCAACTAAGGCCTCAAGATACTGTCAAAGGAAGTTTACTGCTTTTTTCCCCTATGGGAAATTAGAATGTTTTTGCCTCTAAGTTCCATGCTTTTCTTTTTAAAGGCAGCTTTTCTTTTTAAAGGCAGCTTGCTAAATGCAGAATGGTTAGTCCACATTTAAATAATACATATGGTTGATATGCTGTTTAATTTCCAGAATACCAAATGAGAAAATGTGCAATATGCATGTGCAATAGGAACAAGCTTCTGATCTCTCTTCCATAATGTTTTCTCTCATAACGTTAAATAGAAACTGCATCGTAAACAACACTTTTGGGAATGTATTGGAGAGATAGTTCACTGGATGTTTAAAAAGTGATATCTATTTATGCTGAAGATACAATATCCTGAAAAGCGCATTAATGCATACAATTTGGATATGTGCCCAAGTAATGGTTTAAATGTTTTTAACATAATGGAGTTAAAACTTAAAGATGTCAGTGTGCTGTTGAATTTTAGTCCTAAAATTTGGAATCAGTTTATAAAGAACTTTGGATCAATTTTTAATTTATTCTTTTTGTATTGCATTTTAAAGTATTAAAATACATTCGTAAAAAGAGACTAAGCCATAAAAAGCATACCTAACTACGGCTTCTATTCCATGGTCAACAAATGATTACTTTAGTTGTTTAGCTCAGATATTTATATATTTAATAATAAACCCATGCCTATATTGAATAAAACAAATTTATGATACACCTACTTTGGTGATATGTGTAGTAGTTGTAGTACTAGTAGTTTCAGAAGTAATAGTCTGTGCACTCATCAGAACTCCTGGTTCAGAATCAGCACCAGAATCCACCTAAGAAAAAATCATATGAAATGATAAATGCATTCAAGATTGGAGTTATTATTTGTATAAAGTTGCAAATATTCTACTATGTAGTAGAATTTAAATAGTTCATTTCTTTCAATAGTCAAGTGCAGATGGAATTGTCAGCTTGTCTAGGACTGAAAACAAGATGGAAAAAAAATACTACCAATATTGTATCCATCTTTTATTCTTCAACTATCTGTCAATTCAATTCATTATGAAGGTATTTTTCATGATTTCAATATTTTAATATTATACCAAAAACTTTTTCAATCAGTCTTTAAAAATGTTTGTATCATAAGAACAAAACTTTTTTTGCAACATTACCGAAATCTCTTTTTTGAGTACAATAAGATTGGAATGGTCTTAAACTATTATTAGATTAGAGGGTTCTTAGTCCAAATGAAGTTTAATTTTTTTATATATGTTGCCCTTGTCACCAATCTGTTAGCTTGAGTGCAAATTTTATTGTTCATAGAATATGCTTATGTTATTTCAATCTTTTTATTTTAGTACCTTACCTCAGATGATTCATATGTAATAGTTTTTGTTTCAGTATGGACAACAGGTACTTCTTTCACAGAAATTTCCAATTTCTCTGCACCTGTAGAAGCACTGCCAAAACTGACTGTCTCAGTCTTCACAATGGGTGACTGTTCCAATGAAATGTAAACGTAGGACACATTAAAATTGCTTAATTTTCTAGTAATCCAGAGTAAAATGTAAATGAATTGCCTAACAAGAAGTATCTTAAAAGTACATAAGCTTATAAACAGCATTTTTACCATTATTTAGATCTAAATTGAGAACATATTTAAATAGCATATATATTTTTTCATTTAAAACTTAAATTTATTTTGCTGTAGCCCAAATTTACATAAGCTTATTTTCCTTTAAATAGTTAAAACAGGGTTGAAGTCACGAAAAGATTGCATATATGGCAGTTTACAATTAGAACATTCCAGTTGGGAAGTGTTTTCAGATTTGAAAGTAGATAAGATAAAGAAACAAGTAATGATTTTTCCATGAAAGATTATACTTCACTCTTTGCTCTGATAAAATATGTTCTAGTGTCAGCATTAAGCTGTATTACTTAATCCAAAATGCTTCTTAAAGAGTGCATATGATGCTAAAAAGTAAATAAAAAGAAAAAAATAAATGTAAAAACGAACGTTGCAATAAACCTCAAGATGCCATGCTTGTGAAGAAGCATTGAGTTGCTTCCTGGTTAATTTTTAAAATGTTCAATGTGATCTGCAGAGAGTCCCAGGAGTTAAAGGGGAAGGCAAACTTTGTTTTAACATCTGCATGTATACCAGTTGGGAGAGATGGAAGAAAATGAAGCAGCAGAAATCACTATGAAAGAGAATTTCTGCATCTGTCTTGGATGCACATGCCTTCTAGATGGACTATGTGCTATTTTATACTAAGTTAGAAATTAAGTCTATATTCACACATCAAGGGAAGCCCTGGCTGTACCTGTAACTACAATTATTTAGGCTGCTAGCCTTAACTATATAGTAGCCATGTCGCCACATTTAAATCTCATACTAAACCAAATAGTGACAATTAATGAAAAGGACAAATTGAGCTTGCAAGCCATACAAGTGAAAAACAAATGCATGTGAAGCTGCCTTAAGAAACAAACTGCTCACAGTAACAATGTTAGATGCGTTGCATAACTTCCTTAAAGAAGTATACAGTAGTTTATCTTTTTGTTCAGAATCAGCAAATCAGACATGTTTAATTACCTCAAAAAGAGGTTTGCTTTCTTGCGTATTCAAAATATGGGCTGATTTACTTTGCTCCTCTTGTAGATCATGAGAAATAGTAGCAGTTTCTTCCTGTTGGATTGCAGCTTTTTCCTCTTTAGCCCCCTCAGTGATAGCAGAGCCCTCTTTCCCATTGATGCTAGAAGCCACATGAGATATTGTCTGTGCTGTAGCATCCAGCTGAAGGCCAGCCAACTTAGCAGCATCCTCACTTGCATGCAAACTCATCACATGTTTCTCCTTGACTATTAAAGATTCCTGCACAACCTTCTTGGTGGCCTCCTGCTGTTGTTCCTCTGCTTTCTTTTCCTGATCAGTTTGTGTTTCTGTTCGCTGCAGGAAAGGCAAGTTAATATTAAACGCTAATGTGTAAAATCTACAATTAAAGACCATCAAACATGACCGAGGGTTTGTTTTACATGCTTTTACTTTCTGTACAGGTGATCCGAGTGCTCAGAAATTCCATATGATTTCTGTTATAAAGATTTTGAAGAGACCTCAGTTTGAAGGGCAAAATGTGATTTGGATTTACACGTGGCATGCTTCAACTACTTGTTAAAATACAAAATTCTTCAGAAGTACCTTACACCAAATTAGATCACGCTGTAGCATGGTCATGTGATCAGGAAAAAAGATGCAACCACCTTAAGTATACCTGACACGTACATTCACATCTTTGCATGTTCCAAATTATATTCTGCCCTTTAAATCTGGATATCTGCATATCGCTAATAAATATGAAATCCAATTTTATCTTTCATACACTTAAATTCTATCTCAAGAATAACAAACTGACTACTACCTCCCATTTCTGAATTTCTTCAAGTTTAAATGTACAACTTTAGGAAGAAAAAGTACTCAGCATATGCATTAATGTTTTCTATACCGTTCCTAAAGATACTTATGTGCAAAATAATAAAGGTAAACTCAATGTTACTATAAAATAATACCATGACCCATCATTAAAATCTAAAGATTAATCAGATGGCCACCTGTGCCCAGCTATGTGAAGTAGTTGTAACCCCTCCTATGAACTCAGTTGGTTTTCTTGCAGATTCTATTAATGTGAAGATACCAGAACCATCCAAAGATTTTTCATCGGAGAGTTGTTTTGTCTAAACAGACAGAGAAATATATAGTCATAGGCATATGGACACAGAAAGCGAAACAGACAGACACACACAAAGTTTATGTTAATTGACACAAAGACAAAGGAGAGGAGGAAATGTGGCAGGGTTACAAAGAGAAAATAATGGAAAATAAATTAGCACAAGTCTGTACCGAATATAAGTAGTAATCTACACAAGCAAGTGGTTAGGACTAGGGTTCTGGTGGTCTTGTAAAGCATTATTTTCTCTTCAAAAACAAGCAATAGCAGCATACTACATTTCAGTAAGACTGATCTTTAGTTTAAATGCCTAATGTCAGCTTTGTATTGTGTTAATTGATTTAAATCATGAAGAAATAATAAAAAAGCTGGGTTGGCTGTTGTCAAAATAAGGCCAAGCAGCAAAAGGACTAAGAGGCAGGGTAGTGCAGAAATCGTCTAAAAAAAGTCATGCTTTAATTGTAAAACTGGGTCAAAGTTGTATGTTACCACTACTTTTGATGCTGATGACTCAGTGACATAGTGAGCAGTAGCAATAGTGAAAGGTGGCTCTCTGCCATGTTTCCTCTCAGGCTTAGTTTTCCAACCAAAAGTCTCTCTTTTCTGTTGTTCACTGTCAAGCGATTTCTCAGCTTTGGCTGTCTGTACACTTCCCAGAATCTCAGGCAACTGCAAATCTTCATCTGCCTTCCGTATTTTCTGCACATTTTCTTCTTCTGGACTTTGTAGTCGGGAGTCTGCTTCTTTAATTGGTGCCAAGGACTCAGAGACCCTCCTTTTGGCATCAGATAATCTTCCGGCTTTCTCATCAGTTACTGGTTCTAGAATTTCATATTCTGCTACTACAGGAATGACTTTCACAGATTCTGGCATTGCCATCTCTGTGTTTTGAAATGATGGCAGGACCATTTTTTCTCCCTCTTTTACTTTAGTGGTCATGGTTACAATTTTTCCAGAAACAGTATCATAGGATTTTCCTAAGGTATACATTTTCTGTTTATTGTCATCTTTTGAAAGCAATTCACCTTCCAAGTCCTCAAAGCTCTGTATGTCAGTGATACTGTGCTTTAAACACTCTGGTGGGATGTCACCAGTTTTACTGCTCATAGTCATTAATTTGTATGTCACAATGGTTTTCGATTCACCATCAACTACCTCAATGGGTACTTTGTCTACAATAACCCAATCCTCAGTGCCCTATATTTGAAATATAAAAACTCAATTAGAACAACTAAGAGGTTACTTCTATTATATGCCAGGAAGCTAAAATATTACACCTTTTCAGTGATTACAGTAACTACCTTATTAACAAACACATTTCTAAAGTCTTTTCATAAACCAGAAGGCAAGATGAATATTTCAACTTGTGACAAGTAAGCTTAATACATAATACAGCAAAGGGCACCATACTAGCTTAATATTTTTACACATTTTTAAAAAAATGCTAGCTAGGGGGTAAAAATCATTTAATTTTTAATTTTCTTCAACACAAAACACTGTTGTTTTAAGTGCAAAATAGAACTGTTGGAGCAATAAACACTCCCAAAACATCTGAAGATGTAGCTGAATACTTAAAGCCCAGTTCTGTGAAGTTATGTGCTTGAAACAATTTAAAATATTTTACGAATGAAGGCGAATCATTCTGCTTATTAAAATTAAAATATTTTGTACTCTCTAAAATACTGCAAATGTTACAGAGCAGTGTTTATCCAATTGTTCACTACATAATGCATTTTATAACTTTATATAAATAATCAACACATTATACACTGAATATTCAATTGCAAGCATATGCTGAACCATCAATTTCATATACTTCTAAGAATATGTATTTAATAGTACTTCCTGAGTGACAGTCCATAATGTTACTAATCAAAATGCATGGTGCAGCTTGCCACTTTCCTTAACATTTAGTTTAAAAAGAGATAAAAGCAGGTGATTAGAGAGATAGAATTACAAGTGGAAAACAGTAAACACTGGGATCCCCTCTAATATTCCAGATTTGAGATAGAATAATTGAAAATACAGCTTTTCTAAAAGCACCTCAAGATTTTGCTGTCTGTATAATCATATGCCTTGTAGAGGTAATGGTGAATTCTTTTTTATTTAGCTCATTTCTCCTCATTTTAAAAATGATTTATAAAAGTTTATAGGTAGGATTGCCTTACTACTGTTCTTCCCCTTCTTTCCTGAATGCATACATGGAAATACACTAGACAATCTTGGAAATGTTTATTAGCATTTCCAGTCTGCATAATATTTCCATTCAGGCCAAAAATGCATCTTCTGAATTCTATCAAGCTATACAGGAATAAGTGAAGTACATTCACCTGCAGGATCCTACCCTATTTCTATATAAACATATTTATGTACAGACTTGATTCTTGCTGTCATTTCTGAATTTCATTCTGCACAATGAAAATTGCACACGTAAGAATGAAGAAATTCAAGCAGTATTTTGATTAGCATGCTTCTTTACCATAAACACATCTGGAAAATATATTTGCTACAATAGTAGAAGCAAATCTGATTTTTTTTTAAAAAAATGCTACAATGAAAATGGATTCTAAAGGCAGTTGATATTGCTTATTATTTTCACTGAGATGTTTAAACATGTATGTATGCAGATGTCCAGAGAATCAATGATGAGATTCTAAGCTCTGAGAACCTAAAATGCAAAGAAATCTGAAAACAAGCCTAAATCAGAAACCTTTGTGATATATTAACCAAACCTTTAAAAATGCACTGCCAAAAGAAATGTGATGTATTTATCAAATTATCATTTGAAGATGTAGCATCTTTCGATAATAAAATGTAAATTTTCCTCTTTACCTGAGAATCAAGATGTGTCATGCTTTCCTTCTGTAAAAATATACGTTTTTCAGATTTTTGTTTATCTTCTTTGGTCTAAAGGATAAGATGTCTATCATTAAAATCCATGAGAAGGTTGTTGGAGTAGAGGGTCTTGAAAAACAGGCAGATAAGCACTCACCTCGTCAGGCACAAGTGGTTCAATCATAGGGGCTTCTTCATGTCTTGCAGCAAGCCGGACTGGTGATGTTGAAAGTCTCTTTTCCCATTCATTAGTCCCTGAGATATCTCTAGTGGTTTCTAAGAATGTCCGTTTCAGCTCACTTATATTGGTCTGGTGTTTTATCAGATCTTCCTGGGTTTTATCTAGTTCCTGGTTTTGGAAAAAGGAATGCAGCATTTTTATATATATATATTAGCTTCTCTGAATTGACACAACAGGAAAACAAATAAATTTTCGAAGTTAATCAGCAAAACAGCCTGGATGAGATTAGCTCTCACAGCACTAACACAACACTCTTGGGAAACTGGTGTTTTAAATGACAGGTGTACAGAAAATCTTAGGACACTTCACACATAACAATGTGGCAAGGGCATTTGCCACTAGGTAGGATTCCTGTTAGGGGTTGCCAGCCAATCCAAACTCCCTGCCAACTGAGCCTATATTAATATGCATTCATAAGCACCTGTGCTCTGTACATAGCTCTGTATGTGGAAAACATTTCCTGGGCACACTTCAATATGCAATGTGTAAAGTAGTCCTCATTCATGTGAGCATCAAATACTTTTAAGAGAGTCATAGTTCACACACATTCTAGAAACAGACTTTGCAACAGTTCTAAAAAAAACAGTATAACAGAAAATCCTAATCTTACAGGATTAATAATTTGATTTATTTAGCAAGTAAAAAAAATGCACATATCATGCATCATATACAAATTCACAGCTTAACCACTATATTTAAAACACGTAGAATACATGCACTAATATATACCCATACCAACCTCTAACATAAGATTACTATGTTTGATATACACATTTTCACCCTGTATGCGCTTAATCAGACTATTCTGAAAAAACTGAAAAAGAAAGGGAAACGTGAGGACCACAATATTCAAAGAATATAAAAATGCTGTTCTAAGTAATGTTTGTAAGTATTGTGGGAATATGAATAAACACAAGAAGTTTAGCTATGGAGAACAACATATACACAAAAAAGCAAGGCATTCTTTCACTTGCCTGTGCTTTGAGATCACCATCTTCCTCCTGATCTGACTGTTTATATAGGAAAAAAACCAGAAAATATTATCTTACTAATAAAAATCATTTAATAGCTATAATAATCATCACAATGTTTTTAAACAGTTCATACTGATCAAATGAACAATCTATACAACAAGTATTGACACCTCTGCTGGCATAAACCTCCACCCAGATGCATCTGTTTTAAAAGCTATCTCAAAATGTTTTGGGAGCAGGCAAAATGTATATATAAACAGAGATAACTGAAATTAGTGGAAAACTTTTTCATATAGAAACTATTTATGCACTGTCATAGGACATACCCCTATATGGCATAGGGCCTGGTTACTTGAGGGAGGGCCTGTCTTGCATAGCACCTGCCTGGCCAATTCAATCCTACAGTGTTTTCATTACTAAATGATATCAACTATGCTAAAATTCAGATTATCTAAGGTATATGATATATTCTTTGACAACAAATTCAGAGCAACAGTACACACCTCTGTGGCAGTGGTTTCACCATCTGCTGCAGTGTCAGTTCTTTCACTGTCAGTCTGTGTTATATAACAGGTTCCAAGAGGAAAAGAAGAATAAGAAATAAACCCAATTTGTAATTAAACAAAATCATAGGTTGAATGGTCAAATCTACATTCTTGTGAGCTGCACTATAATCATTTTTCAGACAAATGATAATTTAAAACAAACATAATCCAAAACAACAGATCAGACAGCATTAAGATCAAGGCATACTGTACAAAGTAGTGGCTTTTGCGTTACACAAAATCATTCAATTGTGAAGCTTGAAGGACACAAGGATCACCTAGTACAATACTCTGCAATATGCAGTAACATCAATTAAGCCATCCTTGCCATTTGTTAGCCAAACAAAACATAATCAGAAAAAGAAGATTTTTTTCTTTATTTTTTCTAAAGAGAGCCACTGACTGAAATAAACAACAAAATGTGCTAAGTATAATCTAAGTATAATTTAATGGGGGGAACCCTGTACAGTACTTTTAATGAGACATTATAAAAATATTGTTCTATAATTTGTTCCTTTAGAGAAGGAAAATCTATTTTAACAGTCCCTTGATTTTAGCCCCTTATTTGCACAAAGATTTTTTTTCACATGGTTTTAAGGCTGTCTGCATTAGCAAAGTTTTAACAAACATACAAACAGAACAAATTTAGCTATATCTTGAACAGAATTAACATTTCTCAACATTTAAATCTGATCTAGATGCAAGAGAATCTTTTTATGTAAAGCTATATTTTCTATCAATGTTTATAAAACATAACATTGTATTTTTAAGTAACATTTAGAAAGTACAAATGATCAAAGTAAACAAAGCACAGCATTATCCATCCAGCATTAATACATCCTAATATGTATCATGAACACTTTGTTTTTATTAATACTGTCTCACAATGAACAACAAAGAGATTTAAAAAATACTTTAAAATAAATGTATAAAACACTGAATGGGGTTATTATGAAAAAAGTCAGGCTATGAGCTATGACAGTTATACAACGATCCAAGGGACTGAAATATGTTTGAAAATATTCATTTAAGACAGAGCAGTTATTCTGTAAAGGTAGGTAGATATATAACATGCAGTCCAAATGTTTTGGACTATAACTACACAGTCCCTTGCCATGCTGGTTGGGACATATAGGAATTGAAAACCTACACAACTGGACAGTGTCAGGTCACCTAGTTCTACAGTCGTTCAGAACTTCTTCATGGGCAAATGATGTAATATATTAAACATGCAATTGTATCAATTCATCTTTTGGGGTTGGAATAACAATCACAATAACTAAGTTTACCTACAGGTAATCCTCGCTTAATGACCATTTATTCAGTGATTGTTCAAAGTTAAAATGTCACTGAACAAATGGTAGTTACGACTGGTCCTCAAAGTTACAGCTGTTGCAGCACCCCCACGGTTATGTGATGAAAAGTTGGACATTTGGCAGCCTGCCCACATTTACAACTGCTATGTGAGCTTCAACCCACCCCACCCACCCATCTTCCCCCATCTCTGCCATTTTGGTTGCCCTGTACTCAGCCATCCCTGCTGACCTTCATCAACTTCTTCCTCCCACTGCTAACAAGACACCCCTGGTCAAGGTAGCTGCTGGCCCATCATGCTTCTGTGAGGCCTCCGTGAACAGCAGTATTGTTAGTTTAATTCTCTTCTTGTTTTAATGCAGGAAAAAGAAGTATCACATTCATTATGTTTACAGGTAGTCCTAGCGTAATGACCAGTTGCTTAACAACCATTTGGTTATGACTTCCCATCTTCAAGGTTATGACTGCCACATCTCCCCCTGCAGTCCTATGATTGCATTTCAGATGCTTGGCAACCAACTTGCATTTATAACTGGTTGCAATGTCTTGCTGTCACATGACTGCAATCTATGACATTTTTTTTTGCTGGTTTCCAGCAAAAACGTACTTCCAACCCTTTTGTGTTCATGTGGCTTGCCACTAGCACCATAGGTTCTTACTACATTTATCATTTAGGTATTCACATTCTTTCATTTATTGCAATACCAGTTCTTCCACATCTACTCTGCAAACTGAGTTTCTGTCCAATTCAGATAAACATTTTCTTTACTTTTCCAATGAACTGTGTTAAGTGGGATCCATTCAGCCTTTCCCCAGAAGATGAAATGCACTGAATCATGTTTTTGTAAAATATAGATTACAATGATGCCAGTGTGTTCCAGCCACACTGATCCAGAAGGCTGATCTGGCTGTGTCTACCCTGCTCATAATACTGTATTTGAAAATTCTCCATGTATATTCCAACTACTTATATCTGTTTCTTTTGTTACTCTTCTACCAATCCTATAATGGCAGTGAGTTCTTCTTTATCTTTTTAGTATCTCCTGTTTCAGCAACCTTCTTACCCAGTGTTGAATCTTTCCAAGTTCGAAAATAGAATCTAGTCTATCAGGAGCAATTAATCCCCAAAGAATCATTGCTTCCTTATCGATTTCTTCAGATGTTTATCATTTCCAAAGTTTTCCATGCATTAAAGTGCTTTTAAATCTTCATACAGTTCAAATGGCAACCAACGGTATATATATAAAAGAAGATGGATGGAATCTACATTTTTTGTTGCCTTGCTGCTGTAGTTTTAACATTAGCCTGTCTCTATTGCAATTTACCTTGTTCATTCCAGAAATTATTTTATTTGTACACAAAGTAGATTGCATTTGGTTTTATTACAACATCTGTTTAGTGCTGATGAGCCCAACCAGATGTTTTTGTATCATTCTAAAATGCTCACTACATCTGTGCAACAGTAGTTTGTCCCAAAATATCCCTGGGAAATACCTTCTTTCAGCTATGGAAAGAATCATTTCTTCCTTTTTACAAGGCTTGATATCCTTCCTCATCTTTACTCAAGATCTTCTTGTAGCATGGATATGACCCAGAAAGTCTTGTTTTCGGTTCTTGTGTTCTTGTGTTGTTTCAAGATAACCTACAACTCTTAGCACAATATTCCATCTGACAGGAAATCTCAGGATTTCCATCCAGACATTATACCACTTAGTTGACACTGTAATTCCTACTGGCCTATCATTCTTACTAGAAGGCTTGCTGGTATTACAAACTGCATAGGAGCTCCTCTGTTAGGTCTATATAGTTTTCTATGTTTGCCTGAGTGAAAACCATTCACATTTTATAAAATTAAGCGAGCGCTGGCTTTTTATGCAGATAAAATTGTTTTATTTTGCTATTCCCTCCTTTTTGTACTCAGCACTGAAAAACTATCTTCTAATATCTTTTTACCCATTGCATTCAAGATACCAATTTAAAATTATCAAGGCTATTGGTTCTATTGCCAAAATTCACTCCACAAAAACAACTGCCTCTTTATTTGCTTCTCTTGACGTATTCCTTTGCTGGATTTGTACGAAGTAACCGCACAATCCCAGACATTTATCTTCACAATGCATCGGTATTTGGGTATTCAAATGCATTAAAGATACATTTGGGGGGATACCTGCACACATTTCATTTTTTTCTTAGCAGAGGTAGGAGCCTCACATCAAAGTAAATCTGCTAGTTACCCATACATAGCAAATACGCACACACACAAAAAAAGATTGTTTACCCATGATTATGGATTTTCAAAAGTTCATCAGTGCATTCCTATGAACCTCTTCCATTTCCCTAGCAAAAGTTTGTCCTGACCTTGAGTGCCATGCTGAATTGAAAAGAGACTGGAAGTTGTATCCAGAAGCTTGGCAATATAGGGCTCACCTCTAGCAAACGTACTTCTTGGCTACAGAGTTCCTAGTAGTGTCTTTGTTCCAGAGAATCATTCATATGTATAAATATAAAAGCTACTACTCAAAGAATCAGAGTTATAATCAGCCTATTCCTTTTTGATCACCCTGCTTAAGGTTGAACTAGACCTATATTCACATGTATTTGACAAGGAGAAACACTACGTCACCAACACCAGTCCTTGCATGATCTTCATTAAACTGACTGTTAAAGACTAGGATAGCACTGAGACAGCAAGGGATGTGGGAATATTAGCAGCTCTAAAGTACGTTCTGGGATGCATGTGGAGGGAAAAATTGGCAGTTTATCATTTACTTCTTTTTAATTTTAATTTACAGTAGTTTATGACCGGCCAAGTCCAGAATGAATTTCCTAAGCAATTATTTGTGAACAAGCTAAGCTCCCGTTTCAATGGGAGCCATTTTGTGAGATGATCAATGAAATGCTCTCAAATCCAAATGTGCTTGTTGACATAAAATGTCAAAAAACACCTATTTCTGGTGTGTACGGTTAAGCTATAAAACTACAGCATAATTGCTTTACCAAGAACAGTTGTTAAAGTTGTTTTAAACAAAATTTGCACTGATATATTTAGTATGATGATATTTATAACAACTAGTGTATCTGTTGGACTAAACTCCCTTAATTCCTATTAACAGGAAGATGCAGTCGAATATATCTACAGCATAAAGAATGAAGGCAACAGTTTCAAATAAATAATATAAAAGAGCTGCTTATGTCACTACAATTTCATTAAAAAAACTAAATCAATGTATTTATTTTGGGGCACACAGTTTATTTCCATTCAGTGATTGTATAAAATAAAAATTAATTTTAAAACTAATATGCTGCAGTTATTTGGGAATAAGTCCTATTAAATAGAGATATATTGTAGTCAGCAATTAAATTGTTAACAATTAAAGCAGTCCAAATAATACTTTCCTGTTAATCAGTATGGCAGTTGAAGATTTACTTTTCTCAGAATAGAATCAGCCATAATTGTACAGGTTACTGTACAAATCCTAAATAAATTGCAAGTAATATATGATATACCTATGCAGTTTATCTCTTATTCTCTAGGTGCCATCATATCAATATGACCCAGCACTTCATGTCTTGTCTTTTTACTGGCTATAACTCTAGCCAGTAGAGTTATAGGTGTTGCTAGCTTGTTGCTACCTTTTAAAATTCTAAATTGCTCAAGCATCCTCTTTCAACAATTTTTACATGAGAGAACATTTTCAAATCCAAAACATTTACTTATTATCTATCTGAAATTATTTAGAATGGAGTTCCTTCTGTTCTTGCAGAGAATTTTATTGCACAGTGCTGTATGTATTTAATCAGAAGTAAATCCTATTCAATTCAATGGGTTGTACTCCCAGGTAAATGGGTTCAAGACATGGAAGTAATGCAGGACTCTAAAGTGAGATTTTAAGCAGTTTTAAGGGACTTTCTCCTGAAGAAAATAAATACTAGATCATTGACCAACTTGAAGTTTGTTGGAACTACTGCTGGAATTTAAAAACAGACATTTTCCTAGCTTGTTATATTAATAACTGCTGTGTTTTGTTTTGCTGATGTAATGCAGACATGCCAAGATTCAAAAGAAAATATCATGCAATATGTCCAAACAAGAGAAGCACCCTGGATTAGGCACAAATCGGTGTAATCTAGCAGACAACTGTTAGTCCTGGTCTAATCACAAGCTTGGTTCATATATAATAACATGATTTGGTGTTACAATATTCATGCCTTTCAACCGAGGATTGCCAATTAGTTTGCTGATCTGAAACTCGTGTTTTGGCACACACAGAACCGTGTATTGGCAAATATTAAAGCACATTATAATTTCTACACAAACAAAATAATTAACTGAATTCGTATAAATAAAGTTTAAAACAAGCACAAGTCTAACTGCATAGTTCCAAATCATGATTTGACACTACATCTGAACCAAGCCAATCTAAAGCAAACAAACTAGAAAACCCATCTTATCCCATTCCAGCTCAACTTTATTTAGAATAAATCTTATTGATTTCATTTAAGCTTACTGGCAGGCAAGCAAGTTTGTTTTGCAATGAATTATAAAATATGCTTCCAGATTATTATTTGGGTTGATTGGTAATTCTAATTAAACAATTTGCAAAATGCAAATGTTTCTGTTCAAAAACTTGTAATTTACTTAAAAGATGGTTATAAAGTACTTGCATCTTATACATTTGACACTATTCATTGCATGGTACAATTCAGTTTTCAAATGTTATGTTACGGAAAAAAATAGTTTGTATGTAGGAGACAGTATTTTGTTTTAAATAGCTTCATTAATCCTGTAAAAGACTTATTGCTAGACTAGAATACTTCTTTGTTATACATGCTTAAGCATGTTCTTCACTTTGATAATAGGCCTTATTAAAATAAAATGCTCTAAGCAAATAATTTTGGCAGTAAGGGAAGTACACTAAGGAATAGAAACACCGTCCAGTTGTGCTCTCTACTCCTGTAACTGTATCTGTGCAACTTTGTGGGCTGAAGTAAATGGTAGGCACAATTTCCTGGCTATTCTTCAATAGGTGGGATTATGCTAAGAAACTCAGATTGGATCTATGGTGCTCTCCTCTCCAGTACACTTTTTGACACTAAATCCCTTTTTAGGATGGAAGGGTAATTTGGAACTTCATTTTCCTATGAAAATGTTATAATTTTATAATTATAATTTTTGAGCTGGATGCAAGTTCATAACTATTTACTCTCAAGGAGCAATAGTTCATAACTATTTACTCTCAAGGAGCAAAAAACAAGAAGCAGAATGCTTTCTGAGTTCACAGCTAAAAAACTCAAAACTCAGGATTGTATTTGAAATAAACTATTTGAAACTGTCATTACCTAAAAGCAATTTGTAAAAGTCATCATTTTATACACTTTGTGTTGTGCCTAACCCTGGGCTCAAGCTACACTCTCAACACAACAAAAATTTAAAAAAAAATCTGAACATATTGGCACAGACAAAAATGAGGTCCTGAAAGGACTACTGGTGCAGCATTCTAACACTGTTTAGGACTGAAAACAACGAACACAAAAAAAGTGTGTTCTGTGTCGAGGTACACACCTCTTCGTCTGAACTGTCACTCAGGTCATTTTCAAGTGAAGCACTCAAGGAGGCCGCCTTGGGCTCCAGGTAGCAGAGGCACATAGCCAAGGGAAAGGAGAGAGTGAGAGCATAGGGTACTGAGAAAGAAGCAGAAAGCAAAAAGAAAAAGATGAAAAGGAAACAAGGTACAAGGGAAGGCGAGCGAATGGGAAGGAAATGCTGCACACTTTGTGGCAGAATGTTTGTTTCAGACAGATTTGGGAAGGATAAGTAGCCATCGTCATCCAGGAGAGAAGGGAATGATTCTGGAAGTTGCAAGGAGAAAGAAAACAATGTTCCACCTTTTCTGGCCTTTTGCTTATAATTAAATGCCATGTCATGTTCAATAGAATAAGCTCTTCCTTTTCTGCTAAAATTCAAATCAGTCTCATCCTGGTTTTGACTGGTGCTTTTGAATGATTCGCCATCTAATAATTTTTTACTATTCTCCTTAAACCTCCTCCTATGGAGTTTTGTTGAAGATGCAAAGGGACTATTTGGTAAGGATGGCAAGGGGGGTAATGAATCAATGTCAGGCAAAAGTGGCTGATGAAAAAAAAAAAGATAGCAAGTGCAAGAGCAAAAGGACAAAAAGAAAATTATAATTGGTTAATTTCCTCTGCATATAAAAGTTAATTGCATCAAGTTAAAAGAACAAGCTTAATTGAATTAATTATACCAATTTCCATGCTGTATTCTATGAGGGCAGCCAGATACAAAGTCAACTCATCTGTTAATATACATTATTAATTATCTTATTTTAAAAAGTTCAACATACACATTTTGTGGTTAATTGCTACATTAAGTTTCTAAACTAGAAATTCTCAAATTGAAAGGTTCAAAATCACCCTACGAAGGAATGAAACTATATGGGCTATATGCCTCTTTCGTGTATTAGCATATACACTATTCCCTTTTTAGCTCAAGTTGCTCTAATTGTACCTTCCTCTTTGGCATTCCAAGGATACAATTTGGCATTTCAAAAAAAAAAAAAAAAAAGAAAAAGCAAGAATGCTACACAGTCGGTTATTTTCTGAATCCATGACTGTAAATTTGTGGTTCACCACTCATTCTGCCATCATTTTCCCAATTTGATCACCACTGCAAAATGGATAAGGAAATGGAAGAGGACAATGAAGCGAACAAGTGAAAGTGCAAGTAATACTTCACACCATTTCAAGTTTACTTTCCAAAAAATGATTTCTTTCTTTGTGGCATTCTGAGTCTTTAACCAGAAATTCTTATAATTCTCCACGATTTTTGAAGAACATTTGATATAAAACTTTGTATTACAAATTTCTATAAGATTTTGAACACTGAGGAGTGTGTCTATGAAAATACCATATGTTGCTGTAATGAAAACAACATCAACTCCTTCCTCTATTAAAAACTTAACTAAGACCTCTTACTAAAATGGAACCACTAATTACAAAAAAAAAAAAAAAAAAAACCCCAAGCAAAAATTCTTTAGGAATAACAAAATAAAAACCTAAGGGAGCAAGTCTTCTCCCACAGCCTACTGAAAACCACCCATGTTTACTGTTACATAATGTTTAATATTAAAGAAAATTGAAGAAATGGAGGTTAAGAATGAAATATAGTGTCCTAGATAGCTAGCTTAAACAAAAGAACTTCGATCGCAAAGTTCTGTTTTAAATTCCTTTGGTTCTAAACAAGGTCTACCTGAAAAATAATAAGCAATGCTTTATAAAAATGAATTTACATCAAAGTATATCTTATTGAAATAGATCTGCATCCAGAGAAGTCTGTATAGGAATACGGAATATTTTCTTTTATCTGAATGCCAGAATTTTCCTAATAGGCCTCATTCACCTGTGTCTGAAATTGTTACTGGAAGATAATATTCACTGCTAGCATAAGCAGTAGAACAGGAAGTCTATATAAACCCAACAATTTGTGTTTGCTCCTTGAATACAGACAATTATTTTAATTCTTAATTTATTTTTATGAAACAGCATCTGGATAATAAAGAATCTTTTTATGAAACAGCATCTGGGTAACAAATATTTTCAAAATTTTCATCCATGGAGAATGCTTTTGGTCTAATAATTAAGGCACCAGGCTTAAAACCAAAGACCATGAGTTCTACTCCCGCCTTAGTCAAGAAAGTCAGCTGGGTGTTTTTGGAATGGTCACTCTAAGTCCACCCCACCCCATCTGATTATTGTTGTGGGGAAAATAGGAGGAGGAAGGTGTGTTGGTGGGATATAAATAAATAAATACAAAAAAAATAAAAAAAGAAATCTTATGCATTATAGAAAATTTCAAGAGGCCTTTTCAACAAGGACTGTTGATGCTAACCACAAAATCTAGTTGATTAATAAACAGTAGCAAAGACTTTCTGCCTCTTTGTTGCCGTATCGTTTAGATTTATTCCCCCTGGATTGTGCTTTGATTTATTATGGTTATAAATTAACTTTGTAACTAATTTATAAATGGAATTCAAAGTTTGGGTTAGCAATTTAAAAATTCTAAATGACTTGGGGCGTTGCTATTGGAAAAAATATTTTTTGATAAAAACCTGACAGTCTTTTAGGATAAGCTGCTCTAGAACCATAATCTTGTAACAATACTGTCTATAACAACACCCTTCCCCAAGAAATTAGGTTATTTTGTTCATATGTATATTCCACAAAGTAGAAATTTCAGCAAATGCTTTACTGTATTAGTATTACCAACTGCTAGATTTCCCCCCCCTGGTTTTTGCTGCTTCAAGTACTATGAACATTTGTAATAACTGATTATTGTTGTTAATGGTTTTATATTTTGCAAATCATGAAAGCAATTCCTTTACAGAAGACAAAAGTTATTTAAATATTTAAGTAATCCTACACATCCAATACTCCAGAAATAGTGTTATGGGAGGTTAGATATAAATTGATCAAACTGATTTTCAGATTAAATTGTCCACTAATTAATCTTCTAATTAAGAATCCCTAACATCCCTAGAATAAAATTCTAGAACTCCTATCGATAGAGCAAAAACAAAAATAGTATAAAGAAACAATCTCACTGACTGCAATGCATATAATATTTCACATGTTCTATTTTTTACTGAAGGAGTTTCAGGTGTGCATCCTGTTACAGAGGAACTGGTGAATTGTGGCTCTCCAGATGTTGCAATTATAGTATACCTCACTATTGATTATGTTGGCTAGGCCTGCTAAGAGTTGATTCAACAATATTTGGAAAATAAACATTGTCCATGCCGTTGTAATGGGCATTCCCACTTCTATACTTCTGCATACCAGTTTCAGAAGGACAGAGGTTGAAACCAGCCAGCAGGTAAGGAAAGTTTACATATTTTTTTGATACAGTCACACTTGAAGATATTTGCTCCTAAATGCAGCTATATAAAACCAAAGTAGATTGGGTCCTAAAATAGAAGATATAAATCCTTATTTATATAGGAAAATATTTATTTCCTATTTTCTTACTACTTATCTTGGTATATTGATTCTGAACATATTTTCTCATATCATTTAATCCCTTAATAATATAGGTATAATTACTACATTGTGGCATCTATTTATTGCAAAGGGTGAATACCTTAAGCACTTTAATTTAAAGTTATATATTGAAAAAAAACAATTCCAGTAGGAATTTTAAGTGACAAATAAAAATAAACATCGTGGTTGTCAAAAATCTAAATATACATTTGAAGAAACATGTAATCCCTAGAATATGCCATATTTCCTGCATATTATCACTTAGTGAACTTTAATTGCCAAATAAAAATTAAAAGAGCATTCAATTGGACAGTTCTTGCAATATAGTCTGCAACTATAAATGTCACTCTTCATTTTTAGCCTTTAATTTAGTGTTTCTTAACTTTGGCAACTTTAAGTTGTCTGGACTTCAACTCCCAGAATTCCCCAACCAGACATCTTAAAATTGCTAAGGTTGAGAAACTCTGCTATAACTGAATGACAAATGCAACATTGAATAAATTTGTTTCTACTTATTTTAATAATTTTCTATATTTAAGAGATGAAAAGTCCTTTTATCAACTGAGTAAGTTTTTAAAAAGTGTGAATTCATAAATTTTGTGAAGATACTGCAACATCAGCCTATCTACCTTCTAATAACCAAAATAATTACTGTGATAATGTATACCTATGCAGCAATCTATCATACCTAGGCACTTAAATTTAACTTCTTCAATTCTCAGCTTTTACCTATGGCAGTGGTGGCGAACCTATGGCACGCGTGCCAGAGGCGGCACTCAGAGCCCTCTCTGTGGGCACGCGCCATTGCCCCAGCCCCGCCTCCCTTCACAGCCCCCTCCTCACAGCAGCCCCCCAGAGAGTCGCCCCCGGGCATGGCCCGCATGGAGCAGCGCAGCCAAGAACATGGCAGCCAGGCAGCAGGGACAAGACTCCGCCTTTGCACCCTGACGTGTGCAGATGATGCTGCTGGATGCGGATGGTGTGGCTGCCATGGCGCTACAGGGCTACCTGGGTGATCTGCGGCGGGCCATGGAGGCGGTGAGTGGCCCTGTGAGTAGGCGGGAGGAAGCAGGGGGTGGAGTGGGGGGTGGAGCACGGGCAGGTGGCAGAGCAGGTGGGCGGGCCAGGGGGTGGGCCGGTTTTTGGGCATTCGGTCTCTAAAAGGTTCGCCATCACTGACCTATAGTGATTGGGAATTCTGGGAGTTCCAGTTTGGAAGGACAACATTTTGTTGGGAAGGCTGGCCTACACACACAAAATGTGCCAATCTAAGCTGAGAGAGTGTATTCCTACTATATCTGAGGTGTGCTGCAAAACTGCTGGAAAACAATGACCGTGGGAGAAATATGTGACAAGCAGGATTATGGAAAAGTAAATCTGTAAACCTTTATAAAAGCATGTTGAAACAGTGGGTACTTAACGCCTTAAATTCTTGGACTCAAATGTCTAAACTGGGTGGACTCACATCCCAAACATTGATAAGCATTGATTTTATTGTACTAAGTGATACAAGTATATTGACTCCTATGCCACTATATGTGTGTCTGTACAATATGTGACATACTATATAAGAATCTGGGACTAAAGCTAGTCTTTCTAGTCATAGCTGTTCATTCTGTACAATATTTTCTGAAGGTTTACCAACAGGCAATTTCTTTGATAATAGAAGACCTGGAATTAACATGATCTGGAGTTAAAAGTAATTTCAGATGAATTATGACAATAACATAGAAGTAAACAATGCCAAAATACTGATTGTAAGATCAAGAAAAAAGGAAGTTGTCTTATAATGACAAATAATTTAAAGGCAATTCAAAACAGCAAATAAAATGCAGTAACCCACGAAAAGAGTTATTTACATTGTAGAACATGTAGCATATTCAAAAGTGAAACATGTTCTCTATATAAAACTAAATTGACAGTGTTCATCTTCAAATTGACAGAAAAAAGCTACTGTACAGAATTACAAATTATTTATTACCAAATACTGGTGATTTGCCAACATTTCTTATGCTTTCTGTCACCAAAATTGCTTAGTTGATAGAATTAAATTAAAAATATAAAACTATACCTTAGTATCGTGCCGTATTGCTGAAACTGGAGTGCCTTCCTCTTCTTTCTTTATCTGTTCGTCATCTTTCTCTTCTTCTGCTTTCTTCTCTGGGGTCACAGTAGTTATCAAGTTTGTTTGAGAGATGCCCTTTGTTGTAGCGTACTGGCCAGTACCAACCTCTGCAGCAGACATAGAATCCTTCATGTACATTTCATGGTTTTCATTCACTGAGGCTAAAAGCAAATGCAACGTGAAGAGGTGAAATCTTAAAGAGATGATTCATTAGGCTAAGTAAAACTATATTCTGGATTAATTATTTAATTTTGTGCATGCCTACCCAAAAGTAAATCTCATTAAATTCAATGGGATTTATGGCCAGACCAGAGAGCACAGGCTTGCAGCATTAAGCAGTCTGCCAGTGAAATGGAAGCCTCATGTTTCTAAAACATGCAGAAACATAAATGCTAAATACCTATATAAAACAATACAAGTAATATGCATGTATGTGTATGTATATGCATATACAACTACTGTATTAACGTCTGACATATATTCACATGCATGCAGATACTTTTAAATCTAGACTCTTCTTTTCTAAACTTTGTCCTAGGATAGCTTCAAAATAATAAAATTATCTGACCACACTGCACTATACTTATGTAAAGAACCTAAAGACGGTTAATATATACAACTTGAAAGTACTTTCTTAAAAAAAAATAATTAGCAACCAGAGGCAATTAAACACAGTTAACTCAAACTGCAAGCTACCAATGTGCTTGACATATAGACTCAAAGAAGTATCACTAATTCACTGGAAAGAAAAAAAGATTTTGAAGAGTTAAAAAGTAATTTATAGAAAGTAATTTATAGAAAGAAAAAAAAATGGCCATTTCACCACACCTTTATTATACCAACTTGAAACACGCTAAATATACAAGGCATACATTAGGGCTGTACAAAATAAATAGATATTTTACAATAGGCAGGATCAATTATAAAACAGGACCTCTATACGTGCTGCCGAATGTTCCAAATACTTCTTTCAAATGCTTTGCACATAAAAATACAACAGCATTATTTTGTAATCATATACAAGTAGTCTTCAATTTATGACCACAATTGAGAAGAGAATGGCCATTACTAAGCAAGATGGTTCAGTGAAACACACGCGATTTTATGATCTTTTCTGCCACAGCTGTTCAGTGCATCACTGCAGTTAAGTGACTCATGCAGTCATTAAGCGAATCTGACTTCCCTCCTTGATCAAAAACTGGCTGGGAAGGCAGAAACCTAAAATCTACAACAAATATAGTTACCAAGCACCTGAATTTTGATTGTTTGAAAGTCAAAAGTTCCCGACACCATTTTTAATTACTTGATCCATGAGAGCGCTTCCTTCCTAAGATTTTTTCTGATCATTAAGGTACTGGGGGCTCCTGACTCTCCTGTCTGATTGTTTGGATCTTATAGGAAAAGAAGCACATCCTTTGGCAATCAGTTTTATTGACTGACAGCTCATATTCATCCTGAGGTCTAGCCTTGTGATTTTAACCTGGTCCTGCCTTCTGAGAAAACAGAGAATAATTCCATTCCCTCTTCTATGTGACAAGATTTAAAGACAACTACCATAATTTCCCTTCCCTTTAGATATCCAGATCCTTTAACCATTCCTCACAGAACTTGTATTAAGAGTTCTTATCGTCATCATTTTAAAGAAAATAAAGTATGCATGCAAAAGATGGAAATTAGCTCTCTATAATTATGCAAGACATCTGCTCATACAAGAATGACTTTTCCATTCCCTCTTAATCTTCCAGGATGCCTCCTGAATTTACCAGAACAGTTTTATAAGGTTTTGGCAAAATAAGCTGCAATGGGTTGAGAGAATTTAATCTGCCATCAGAAGGATGCTATTGGAAATATTTTCAATATTTCAATCTAGATGAGTTCTTTTCTGGTCTATGAAACAGGTGCAATTGACTTTAGTACATACAAATCACTTAGGACGTACATAAAATAAAAAATTAAAAAAATCTGAATTAAGAGAAGAAAACTAGCACAAAATACTCTTTTTGCTGTAATTTGTATTATGTAATAAAGTGGAAGCATAATGAATCTGTATATATGGAAAAACTAAAATGAACAAATGAATAAAAAAGTTTTTTTACATTTACAAGTAGTGAGATTCATGAATTCAAAGGATTATGAATCATTACTTTTGCTTAATAAATTCAACTCTGATTATACACAAGTCATTTGGAGTTTACTGGAAAAAAAATCAGAATGTAAATAAAACTATGGCGTTGGAAAAAGCCACTTAGCTCAATGACTCCAAACTTGTCTTCTGAGTAACAGTCTTTCCCAATCTGTAGGCTGTGACCTGCAGCGGGGTCACATAGCAATAAATGAAGTATTGCTGAAGAGTGCAAATTGTTTCCCAGCAAGTTTATCAGTTTGATGCAAAAAGTATGTTGAATTCAAAGGAAAGCTACAGTTCCAGAACCGTTAATGAAGTCTTAATGTCTTTTTAACACATCTGCCTTTCAAAGGAAGACTAACCATGCCTAAAAGGGACAGGGTCTCTATGCAAAGCTTTGACCCTCAGTCTGCAACAGAGTAAAAGAGAGAACTGAAATTGCAAGAATGAAGGGAGGATCTTCTAAAGTATCAGGCTGGGAGGAAAAAAACAGATGAGCCATGACTGTTATCGTGGTGCAGCTATGCTGAGAGAGAGAATGCCAAAAGCAACTTCTAACCTGCTGGTGTTTTGCAAAATGCAGCATTTTAACAGTGGAGTGAGTGGGAAGGAAAGAATTCACTTTTCTTTCAGTGAGTAAGAGTTGGTATCTTCAAAATAAAACTGAGATTTTTATCCTTTCCTTTTAATACATGGATTATTTCATTGGACTTTTTGATGCTGATTTCTGAAGTTGTAAGTCCTATCACTGTTTTAATTATTACAATGACTGAAATTTAATTATTAATATGGCATATTTATTTCTGGCTCAACCACATTTTTATTCATGGAAAATGGAGTCACATAAAATTCAGTTTAGGGGGTCATGTAAATGCAGTTGGAAATCCCTTATAGTACAGAAACCCAAATTATTAAATTTAGTAATAAAAAAGGCAATTCACTAAAAACTTTCAGGATCAAATCTGTTCCGTTTCTGCTGTCCTTTAACTATTGGCTAAATGTGGTAGCTACTGTTTTTTTACTTGTCATCAGGGCAAGTATACTTATACCAATTTGTAACATAAAGAAACAGATAGTAATTTGGATGGTATGTAATAAACAATAGAACCAGTTTTTCCCCTATTGTATGGAAGAATGCTAACTACTAGTTTATTATCTTGACCAAAAAATATTTTTGAAATGCAAAGATTAAGAATGGATAACTTTTGGTTTTCCTTGACTTGTACTTTTTCCACATGTCACCTTTGACAATTTATAACCATTCACATGAAAATCTGCAGCAATTAAACTATTTCTTCTAAATATATGTTTGCCTAATATACATCAAGTATTTTCTCTAACGCAATCCCTTTTTAATATTATTCATTCAAATATAGTGATTTATGGAAGTGTACAATATATGTAGCTAAGGGCTGAACCGTGGAGTCTTAAGTGCTCTCTGAGCCTGGTTGTTTCCTTGCAGATGTTTCATTACCCAGCTAGATAACATCATCAGTGCTAGTGAATATGAGGTTTGCTCTCTGTTTATATACAAGTAGTCCGGGACTTACAACCACAACTGAGCCCAAAATTTCTGTTTCTAAGCAAGGCAGTTGTTAAATGAGATGTGTCTCATTTTATAACTTTTTTTGACACAGCTGTTAAGTGAATTGCTGCAGTTGCTAAGGAACTAATGCAGTCATTAAGTGAATCTGTCGAGAATTATCCATAGGTTGCCCTGCCAGAGCTGGTGGATGTTTCATTTTCTCCCTGATAGTTTCTTGCTTGTTTCTTTGTCTGGTGTTAATCCCTGTTTATCTGGGTACTGGCTGATGGAGAGGAAGTATTCTTGTCTTTTTATTTTCTTCTTTTGAATGGTATGTAAATGTGGTTTATCTATTTGTGTCTATTGATGGCTGATTTGTCTGAATGCCAAACTTCCAGTAATACCCTAGGGTTTGGGGATTTTGTACTCATCTGAATAATGAAAACTCCACCAACACTGGCAGGCAAGCCGGATGACGTTGCCTAGTCAGGCAATGGAACATAAGCAAGCAAACGTCCAAGCTGAGAGAGCTTCAACAACTTCACATTGTGATTCATTTTTGTGAATGCTGGAACTATATCGTAAAGTTTGGAAAAAAAACACAAATACCATAGCATAATGACATTCAATTTGCATACTGTGTCAGTCAATGTTAAAATACAAGCTGAGTGCATTTACCATCCTAGCAATGATAGCTACAGCGCCCTAAAAAAAAGCACAGAAAGTGTAAAAATACAGTAGCAGGAGGAATAGTAGCAGCTAAAGAAACAAATGTGGAGGACTAAAGTTTTAGTCTTCCACAGCTTAAGAACTGCCACATGAATAAGCCAGAAACAGCGAAAGGGCAAATATTCATTTAACGGGCATCTTATAATAAATGGCATATCATGCACATACTTACATGTGTAATCCAAAGAAGCTCAGGGGACACGAGATTACAAGAAACTTGAATCTGTCCTCTAATGCAATGTTTTATTTAAAAAGAAAATGAGACAAAGCTCCAAGTAAGGATGATTAAGAAAATCTTACCCCCGTCTAGGCTGCGAGACATCGTGTAGCGCTTACTTGAGGAACGTTCAAAGTAAGGGGCAGGCCGGTCAATCAGTGCGCTTGCTCTCCTGGTCTGGGCTTGTGTCCTTCCGCTGTAGCGGAACTTGGAACCCAGGGTGAGGAATTTTTTGGGAGGAGCTTCCGGTAGCAAGAGTCTAGAATATATCACACAGGGATAAATATTACAAACAACTGAGCTTCTGAACTGAAATAAAAGATTTGTGTTTTTAAAACTATTTTCTCCCATCCTTGAATTGAAGGGATGTGATATTTAATATCACTTTAAGCATTATTAAAAACGCAGTGTATAGTAAAAACTATTGTCAATTACCCATTATAAAATAGTGTCTGAAATATTTCAAGCTATAATGTGTTTGTCAGATGGACCTATTTCTTTAATGAACACAGCAATACTTGCAAAGAGAATAAGTTATTTTTTTTAAACTACAATGATATATTCTAATCAGTCTGGATTTGTTCCAAAGACATATATAAGAAATAACATCAGACATATTCTGATAAAGGTAAAGGTAAAGGTAATGGAGTCCCTGCTGATTTTTACTCCACTAGTCGGTGCTGACTATATGGGCAGTGCTCATCTCCATTTCAAGGCCAGAATAATAATATTCTTAGTGTACTGATAAGTTTTCTTTTTTAAAAAATGGACTGGCAGTCACAAACTGTAAATTGCATTATCATGCCACTTGTTTAACATAGATTCCAGAGTGAATTATATCTTCTTACAGCCTAGCTATCTATACTCAAATGGTCTGCATAAATATATTTTTGGTTGATACAAACAGAAACTAACGGTCTATAAGAGATCATGAAATAATAACGAATGAGCTGAACATGTGGGATAAATACAGGAAAAGAATAAACCCAAATTTTTCTCCTCTTGCTTCACTTTTATTTCAATGAAGACAAAACCTCTAAAAAAATTCACTCAGTGCAAAATTAATCATTTGTGTAGCTTGCAAGATTAAATTTATGTAGTACTAAAACTCTCTTTCCTGTAGCCCTTAAATGGGTAAAAATAAGGCACCCCTTTGAACCAAAATAGCTCCAATGGGCTAACTTACAGAATGCATCCAAAATCTGTGGGATCCAGATTAAGGAAGGGATGAACTAAGGCTTCCTTAAATGGTATTGCAGCAATATATTAATGACTGGCTGGACTCACTTGCAAGTCACCCTCCTGGAGGCTTTTACTAATTAGGAGCGGCAGAAATCTAAACAAGAAGCTACACTAACAGATCCATGATTCCGTCCACTTCAATAGTCAAACTGCTTCTAGATAACTTGTTAAGTCCCCTCTCCCTGGGTGAGGACCCTGCTCCATGTTTGGATTCCAACTGAAAACAAATTTAAGCAATTTTATCCATCAGATGCTCGACAAATTCTTCCAATCTTGTAAATGTTCTTATGAGCCCTCCTTCCCTAGGGAGGGATTGGGTGACTTCAAACAGAGTTACTGGGCGGACTCTGCAGATGCAATAAGAGCAGAGAAATACTTGTATTTCACTACTCTTACCGCCATGAGATAGGCCTTAATGATCTGTGGTCGGACAGATTTGTTCGTTTTCCCCCAGTGGTTCTCTAGCCATTTCTTGGCCCTTTTTAACACCCTCAATTGGGCACATACTGTACATGATACTGTCCAGGGTCCTGGCTGCCTTCTGATTCCAGGCTGTGGTCAGAGCCTCCACAGGACCATACAGAAGATATTGTGGGACATCCTCCACCTCCCTCTAGAACAGTGGTTCTCAACCTTTTTAATGCTGCGACCCCCAACCGGTCGTAAGTCGAGGACTAAACCGGTCGTAAGTCGAGGACTAAACTGGTCATAAGTCGAGGACTACCCAACCGGTCGTAAGTCGAGGACTACCCAACCGGTCATAAGTCGAGGACTTTCCCTGCCCGGGAGTGCCGCGCATGCGTGGCTCCGCCCCCTGCGTCGGCTGAGGCGTAGCTGGCAAGCGGCAGAGACGGAGCAGGCCGACCACCAGCTGGCCCAGCTCAAGGGAGGTAAGGCATCCACCGGAAAAGGGAAAAAAAATGGCGAACAGCCTTGCTTGGCGACCCCCGTGAAATGGTCAATCGACCCCAAATGGGATCGCGACCCACAGGTTGAGAACCGCTGCTCTAGAATCTGAGTGCATGTATCAGTCACCAAGGGTGAACCATTCCAATAGGTCTGAGCTCCATGTGGAGGAGGGCAAAATTGGAAAATCTTAAGGATAGCAGGGCATGGTCTCACCATGACAGAGGAGATAATGATAAATCTTCCACCAGATCACACTGCCACTGCTGCAACTAGAAGATCATATCCATGGTATGTCTACTTTCCCAGGCCAGGCAATAGATGACCTGGGATAGGCCCATGGCCATCAAATCCATGAATTTGTTATCATATACTTTTTACTGGAAAGCTTGTTTGATCTCTTCAATGGAAGAGTGGCTCACTAAGTTGTGAGAGTATGCTTCAATGCCTAGAAAAACTTTATTTGGTTCAAACGTGAGTGTAACTTGATACATGGATTTGTACCATCTCCAACATGTGGGGTTTTTCTCTCTCTATAAAATCTGTATTTTAATTTTACTGGGTATCAAAAACAGAACAGAGGTTTAGTAACATGGCTTTCAACTATTCTTTTGAGAATTTACTTACATTTTGTGATTAATAGGCATGGTGTCTTTCTATTCGATTTTTAAATGGACAGGCATGATCAGAGGTCAAAAAGAATGTCATATCTGTTTATATACCTTTGACCAATTTATTCTTATTTCATTGTGACAGACTTTGAAGAAACTCATTAAAAAGGACTTTGTACCTGAAAAATGTATGATGTTCAACACATACTTTCCATAAACGTTTTGCAGCACGGTGATTTGGTAGTTTAAATCCAATTGTACTTTCAAACTGCTCAAACTAGGAAAGAAAAAAAATAATTACTTTTTAAATTTCTAATAAAAATATATGAATTCTTTACAATGAATTATCTATATATATTCATATCAATATGAATATATTACTTATAAATGGACTAGGAATTCACAGTCAAGGTTACGCATTAGCACAGGTTAATTACAATAATTTGGGCCATGAATTTTATCTGGCTTTTAACCCCATGCTTTTTATATTACTGGTTCTTTTATGTTATATTCTTATTTTGAACTATTAATTATTATAAGATTTAATTTGATATCATTTAAACAAATAGGTTTCAGGACACTGTATAGTTGTAGTAATCCATGAAATCTTATTTAAGTTATTTTATATGAGAATAATCTCTAGCCTACATATAAAAATGTTACAGAAGAAGAGAGAGAGAACAATTAAATATAATGTCATAAAATATCATATATTGGGTTAACCAATAATTACAAAAAACAGTAAGCTCTAGTTTCTTATCCAACCAGGTCTTCCTCCTGTCTCCCAAGTTCATCCCAAAAATATCATTAATGTTTCACTGGAGTTTGAACCTGAAGATTAGTTAAGTTCTGCTGTTAGTACAGTTTTATGATTAGGATGCAGTATTTACGTCAGGCATCTTGGGTAACAGTTTGTAACACAATTAATTGATTTTAATATTTATAATTGCCCTACTGCCATTGTGAGATGGTAACCATTTACATTATACATACATACATACATACATAATACCCAAGATATGCTGCCTCTCTAAAGGAAGCTACAGAGATTTAGCTTTCTATTATACAACAGATTATCACCAGTGTTCTCCCTATCTTCTATTATATCACCCCAAACAGAGTGATGGATTCCCATTGGGACAAAAAAAGGATTGATTGCTACCGGTAGTAGCATAGTTAGCATAGCAATATCGGTTGTAAGCATTGCACTACCACAATAAACAAAAATAATAACCACATTAAATTAATAACAGACAAACCAACAATAGATAAATAAAGTATAGCATATTGGATACTGTATTACAAATCTCTGTTTTTTCTCCTTGCAGAAAACAGAGAGGAGTTACAGCAGTGGCCAATGTATAAATACATCACCCTGCATTAATTTCTAAAGTAAAATTCAATGTATAGACATAAGAAACATGAGGAACAATTTCATTCAATTTTACTTACTTCCCCTGGACGAATTTTGATGTAGAAGTTATTCCTCTTATATGAAATTTTGAGAACCTTAGGCCAAGCAAATCTGTTTATTCTGAGTCTGTCTCGATAAATCAAGAGACCACTTGCACAGACACCTAACATGATTTCAACTCCTTCAGAATCCTGAAAAAAGATTGGATATTTATTTTAATCTAAAATCAATTCCACAGGTTATTTATCAGCTATGATATTCATTTTCATTATATTTTTTCATAATTTTAATAATGCACATAAAATTATTCCTACAAGCATGGAGTGTTAGAAAAACACAATTAAAATGTTATACAATTCTTGGTGTTTATGTTCATCAGCTAGATAGAACAAAGTTTATTTACATCCTATGAGACCACATTTTTAGCATGTAGTCAAAAACATACAGAGAATTTCCAGAGGAAACTAAGTTTCTTATGCTTAATGAACAAATTATAATTTGTTTACATACATACATATACAAATGATATGTATGAAACCCCTGTACTAGGAAGAAAGCTAATTATTAAACATATAATAATATATAATTACAAATATTTAAATTGCATAAAATAATTATTGAAGTAATTTGTTTTCCTGCTTCCTCTCAACTGCTACTTCCTTTTGGTTATTATCTAATAAATTACTGTACACTTGCAATTGAGGGGACAGAAATTGTATATTAATATTTCTGCAAAAGAAAACAATTTTCAATATAGTTCCTATCTTTAATTATCTTTAGACTATTACCCAGGCCTCAATGATCTCAATTTTGATGTTCATACATTTTTAGAAAGATATAATTATATTATTCTTTGAATTTTTTTGATAGCAGAAGTGACCAAGATTTTTGCTGGTTATTTATTTGCCCAAAGATGCTTATTTAACTTATATTTGTTAATGACAATTAACAAAAGGTGAAAGTTAAGGTTGTTTTTCATTCTTAATTTATGTATTTGCTTGCAAATTGCTGGAAGAGCTTTTGAAATTATGCATCTGGTTCATTTTAGAAAATATTTTATTCAGAATGATACTGGAGGATTCCAAAACTTCTTCATCAATTATAAATTGTCAAAAAATAGCCAGTTTGATCTATTAGTTAAGACACCAGGCTAGAACTCGGGAGACTGCGAGTTCTAATCCTGTTAGGCACGAATGTTGACAGTGTAAATTTGAACCAGCTACTCTCTCAGCCCAACTCACCTTACACAGGATTGTGATTGTGAGGAAGGAGCATTAGGTATGTTTGCTGCCTTGACTTATATGTAAAAATAATAAAGACAAAATAAAAAAAAATCTAAAAACATGAATATAATGATTTTACTAAAGCCTTATGCGAATAATCTTTTTTTTGGAGAAAGATAGTTTAAAAAATAAATATGTTAATATTAAGTAATTTAATTAAATGCATAATTTAAAAGAAGATCTATTTTTCTTAGTGCAGCTGGTTAGTGAAATCCTTTACAGCAATGCTAAGGACTACTTCAATGTAAGGGACATAATTAGCTACAAAGCTAAAACTTAATGGTTCATTCATGATCAATAAGCTGACATTAAAATTAAACTGAACCCTGTAAACAATCATTTAATTTAATATACACACAGTAGCACTTGATAGGGTAGCAGGAAAAGGACTTGGAGAAGATATTCAAATGCTGTGATTTGTATATATCTACAAAGATCAAAATCACAAGTATAATAGTTTTCCTGAAATATTCTATGGAGATGAAAGTTGAATTTTGAAGAAGCAGGAGTGTGTATTGATTTAACGTTGAAGAAGACCATAGATAACCAAGAAAACAAATGGATCATAGAATAAAGAGCCACGGTGGCACAGAGGTTAGAATACAATATTGCCAGCTAACTCTGCCTATTGCCAGGACTTTGATCCTGACTTGTTCAAGATTGACTCAGCCTTCCATCCTTCTGAGGTTGGTAAAATGAGGACCCAAATTGTTGGGGGCAATATGCTGACTCTGTAAACCTCTTAAGAGTGCTGTAAAGCACTATAAAGCGGTATATAATTTTAAGTGCTATTGCTATTGCTAAATCAATCATATTTTTCATTCAAGGTATGAAAGCTCAGCCTCAATAATACTATTTTTAAGTGCAAAATACAATATAATTATTTAGGCAGTGGTTAGTATTGGTAGAAAAATAGAAAAGGGAAGAAAGTGTTACCAAAACTTGTTTTTTGTAATTTTTTACTTATATTTTATTAGTAATTATTAATGTTTTGCTTTGTTTATTGTATTATTATTCTTGTTTGAGTTCTGTTTAAATAATCTGTCAAACCTCATGGAAGACAAATGAGGTCGAATTTTTAGACTGCTGAATAAAATATGTACCTTAGCATGATGTAGATCTACTCCATACATAGACAGTTTTTTGGCATTTTCCAAAAAGTGCATCTCTGCTTCTGCAGGTGTCATTCCCCTAAAGTTAATCAATATGAAAAAAAAACCACACACATAAAAACAAGTGAAAGTGAAGTTGCTTCATGAAAAAACAATTTTCTTCAAAATGTAGGTTCTCCATGCATGCCTGTGCATATGCTAAAGTCAATGAGTTGGCACTTTTGCTAAAGCGATGCAGTTTGCTGTATCAAAGGGATTTGCTTTAAGTGGAGGTATTAAGGCAGAGAGTTTTGGTTTTTAAAGCTAAGGCACCTGAATGACTAGAGTCAAGACAATTTGCACAGCAAAGTAGACCAGGACTTTCCATAGGCCCATTATTTATATACATAGATTCCCAATGCATGTCTCACCTATGGCTTTTATGAAGCTCTATTACTTTATCTTCCAATTCTTTAGTATGATTTGGTGCAAAGCGGAATTCATTGACATAATCACTCCCATATTCATCAGGATCATAATCTCCAAGCTCTGACTGAACTGTATAGGAGCCTAATAGTGCAAGTGTGACAAAAGAACATGGCAATCGTCCAGACACAATGTCATCTCGCAGCTGCAAGCAGAGATAATACCTGCAACAAATTTATATTTTAAGAAAGCATATTAGCATTTATCTATTTAAGGAGAAGCATTTTTAAATGTATACTGATTCATAAGCAAATACATAATTTATATAAAACGCATTGCTGTTTTTAATAATGGACATAAAAAACAGGAAAAAGAAATACTGGGTGGGATGGGGTGGAAAGCACTTCACACTCCATAGATACATACGCACAAACTGGAAACTAAAATAATTGCCCTGTATCCAAAAATATGAACAATTGCTGAAATGCTGTTTGTAGCAACAGCTTTATTTGTTATACAAGGCAAAGCAAGATCTTAGTAAGTGGCAATTTGTATTTTTTTAGTTATTATTAACTAAATGAATAATTGCTTGCAAACAATTTTATCTATTAATGTCAACAATAATCTATTCTGAATTATTCAACTGAATCTTGAGAATTTTTGCTATAAAGAGTTAGAAAAGCCAACATAATGAAAGAAAGATAGATCAGTTTCTAGCGCCAGGCTAGAAACAAGGAGAATGTAGGTTCTAGCCCTGCTTACGCATGAAACCCAGCCCAATTAAGGACAGACTATTAGATATGTTCACTGCCTTGAGTTATTTATAAAAATAATAAAAGGTGGGAATATAAATAAATACAATAATGAAACTTACCATAAGCTCTTTAACATATCCTCCAGTAATTCCCCATGTAAAAGTTTAAAAACAAACAAGTTGGGTTTCCATATACACTACACTTGGAAGCACTCATTGCCAAGAAATCTGGGAATTGTATTTTTTAAAATACATATGGGATTAGGAGGAATAGAAATCTACACTTTAAAAATTTTGTAGGGTAATCAATGCCTCAAAAACTGACCTGTGCGATTCCTGAACTCTGCAATAAGAATAAATTTGAGTGACTCTAAGATAAGCCCCTAGAATAGAAGTTAGGCTGAATTTCAACTTCAACCAGGAGTGAATGTTAGAGGAAGTAACAACATCCCAGTAAGTATGACAGCTTTCCCGTTACTTATTATCAGCTCAATAACAGAATAACAGAGTTGCAAGAGATCTTCAAGGTTTTCTGTTCCAACCACCTGCTCAGGTAGGAAACCCTAGAACTTCAATGATTGAAATCAGCTGACCTTGTAGCAACAATTTGTTAGTTAAGCAGATTATGGTCGTAAAGATTTTTTTAGAAATAATTTCTGTTCAATGACAATGTATAAACTACCTTGTAATATCTTCAGAAAGTTGGGCAGGATCTGGAGGGTAGAATTTAACATTGAACGAGAAATACCAAGCACCACCTAAAATAAAACAAAGTACTGTTGGGATTCTCTGTCTTCTGCACTCATTATAATTATTTACTGAGGTAGATATTGTTGCTACTTTCAAAACTGATGCTTCCTTTAAAATTCTTAAGAGCCATTTTTTTCTGAGAGTTTTATTCAGCAACCATTCAATTATCTGAAGTTTCCATAAAACACTATACTAGGCAAGGATGTTAGGTAATAGTTAAATAATAAAATAAATATGGAAATAACCACATGGATAAGTAGGTGTGGTCTTGAAAGGGTAGTTTGAATGGCAACACACATTGCCACTTTGTTTTTTAAAGGCTGTTGTATGGATTTTATTCTGAAAGTATTGCTCTGACAGCATCAATCAGTAGATCTTTTAATCCCATTTTAATACTTTCCCTGTTTGCTGCACTCTATTTTAACTGTACGTGCAGTGATGGATATAGATGTTGAAAGTAAGTCAGGTTCTATTATTAAAATCTTGTGTCATTGGTTCCTTTAGCTATATACAAATTCAGCCAACCAGCCTCCTTGGCCTTTGAATGGTTGCTAAACAGGGTAATTGTTAACTGAGGACTACTGTATAAACTTCCAGAAGTGGGATATGATTCTTAAAAACCTAATATAATAAGCTCTTTAGAACCTAATATAGTACAGAACGTTTTGCTATATTACATGTAGTTTTCTCAGCTACCACCATCATATATGCACAATATATAGTACTAATCTTGAATAGTACGGATTTAGGCTAATAATAATATCATATTAAATGTATTGAAATATTTTATACAAAGATTTAAAAATATTCCTAGTTATCTAAATGGCACACGGCTTGGTTATTTATGGGACCTATTGTGTCCATAGTATCTGCCCAACCAATTTGATCCTGTGAAGTTTGTGCAGGCCAGCTCCTTCAATTAAATACCATCATATACTGGGACACTGAAAAGATGTCTTCTCTGTAGCAGTGCTGCCTTCTGGATCCAAAATAGTTTTCATTCTGCTATTATTTCAAAGAGCTGTGGCAACCTGGCTTTTCTCTCCGGACTTTGGCAAAGGGGAATGAGGCCTCCTCCTTTTCATTGCCCTTATCATCTTTTATCTTTAACATTTTATTGATTTATTCTAATTTCTTTGTTGTGAGCCATCTAGAGTTGTTGAGAGTTGGGCAGCATACAAGTTAAATATATCATTATCATCACCAGCATTACTGAATTATTATTAAATGATGGCTCCCTCTTTAAAAATATAGAATCTACCTCTGATAAATGACTGATAAAAACTTACTTCGTATCTGCTTTTTAATTTCTTTAGCTGGATCCAACCAATTCTGGAAAAAAACATTTTAAATACGGTATTTAAATTAGATGTGCAAACACTTTGATAAAGTCATGTTAAATAACAAGTGAAATATTAAAATTGAACTAATATGAAACACTTTAAGAACCAAGTAATACCAGTATGTTTCAATTGAATGACACTTAATTGTGTTTAATTACTTTGGTCAAACCACTTTAGATTTTAGCAAATCTAAGAACATGTACCCAATTCATCCTAAGACCTAAGCAAATTCCAGTTTTCTTAATTTCATCTTGTATCTATAATCTAGATATAATGATTAATCTTACAAAATAATTTCATTATATACTTTATTAGTATAACTAGTACAAAACAGGTTTAAGGGTATATACCAAAAATAAAAGTGCATTGTAACATCTTAAGATAGCAGAAGAGAAGAAAAGAAATTGGAGAAAATAACAAAATATAAATAGCGGAAATATAAGTAGGATGACTGTGGCAAAAAATAATCAAAGATAGTACTAATAGTAACAGGTGCCTTGAGTGCAATTCCAAAACATCTGGAACACCACTTGAACACCAATGGCATTGACAAAATCACCATCAATCAATTGCAAAAGGCAGCTTTATTTGTAACAGTTTACTTCCTATGACAATCAGATAATGATTGTCTGCATATTCCAGGTCCTTGGAAAAGATTTGATATATGGATAAACATGTCAAATCCATAGTCAACCTAGTTTGGACTTTCTGGGATTAACTAGTAACATAAAAGCAGTTGCATTTTCAATCAAATATTGCTTGCAAGAGGCAATGATAATCTGTAAATATATTTCAGGTGTTTTTCATTCTTAAGCTCTCTCATAAATATTTCAACAATAAATGTTAGGACTGTCAAAGAATTCTCGAAATGATGGAGGGATCTTGAAGGAAAAAAAGTAAAGAAAGATCAGTGAGATATGTATTAATTAGTAACTGTAAGGCTACACTTTTTTTTTAATTTAATCCATCTTCAAGAACATGCAACAGAACACTATATGTGTGTTCTTCTTAAATCTCAAAATCAAAATGAGATGTAATAATTCTTTTGAATATTTCACTGTGCATTACCTATCAGGAGTTCAGCTATAATTACAATTAAACAAAGCACTAGTCTCATTCTATAGTTGCTTATTCTTGGATTAAATATATTTTCCCCTTGTTATGTCATGATTTTCTGTAATAAATGGTTAATTTTACCTTCTGATTTTCCATATCTCTGTAAGTGAGTCCAAAATAATCTTTTTCCAAGAGGTTCAAGTGCTCACATACTTTGTCAAAAAGAATCTGGCCCTTTGAGCGCTTCTACAGTCAGGGGAGGAAAAAACAATCAGAATGAGTTTCAAGCTATCTTCTCCGTGAACATCCTAATTTTTTTAAAAATAACATTGTATAGAATGTAGAACTGATCAAGCAAAATTAAGCTTAATATATATTTTATTTATTCCAGGGATCAAACTTATTTCTCATTTGGTGGGAAGTATATTTATAATGTAAATCATTTATTCTAGTTATCCTGAATCAAGATGTCGATACTCTGCAACAATGTTATGAAAATATTTTTATCTTTTCACTTCATTTCTGAAAATGCAATTCAAGTAACATTATGTGTTTATGCCTTAACACTAAAGTTAGTTTCCAAGTTAATGTTATATGAAATCAATGTTTTAATAGCAATCTATATTCTCCTTAGAGAAATGCAATTATATCTGCTATATTAATTTTCCCAATTGCCTGAATCCTCCCATATTTGCTCTGATCTTTCTAAGAATCTCACTCAGTAAGTAGAAATTCAAATTATTTTCAACTTACAGTAAGCATGAAAATACAATATAATAATTAAACAAGAGTATGTTTATATAGTTTCCACAGTGAATTTTCCACTCTTAATTTATGTGACTTTGAATAACATCTATTAACTAAATATTCTGTTACTTGAAGAGAAACAGCTATCATCACTCCTTTTTACAATATATTGGGAGAGAACACAGAAAGATGGTGTAGCTGTTGTTAAGAGCTCTCTCTAAAGCAGGGGTGTCAAACTGCCGGCCCACAAGCCGGACACGTCATCTGGAAGCCGCGCCTACCCCATTGCCAGCAATGGCAAAACCGTCCCGATAAGTTGCGCGACATAACATGATGTCGCGAGTTTGACATGTCTGCTCTAAAGCCTTAATTTTTAGCTAGCTCTTCTGCTTCTACTTCATCTCATTTTATTTTCATCTCTTTTACTTTTCTTCTGCTGGAGATCTGCATTTTTATTATTTTTACTGTAGACTGATATTTTTATCATGTCTGTCATTTATCCAGCTGCTACAAAGCACAACAACAGCAACAACTACAATAATAATAATAGAGTTGGAAGGGACCTTGGAGGTCTTCTAGTCCAACCCCCTGCTCAGGCAGGAAACACCCTATACCATTTCAGACAAATGGTTGTCCAGTCTCTTCTTAAAAACTTCCAGTGTTGGAGCATTCACAACTTCTGGAAGTTGTTCCAACCTGCTTGCTTATCCAACAAAGGGATGGGGACTTAAAAAACAAAAACAGCAATAGCATAGCAATAGCATAGTACTTTACAGCTTTCTCTGGGTGGTTTACAATGTAGAAGCAATATTGTCCCCAACAGTCTGGGTGCTCATTTTATTGATCTTGAGTCAACCTTGAGTCCCAACAGGATCGAACTCCAGTCTATGGGCAGAGTCAGCCTGCAATACTGTACTTTAATCACTGTGCCACCAGTATTACTGACTTCACAACCAGAAAATGCCTACTGATGGCACAAACAGCATTATCAAGCTTCTAACCACAGTTAACAATGAATTGGACACTTGAATAAAAGAGACTTTTATTAAGCTTAAACATAGGCACCCATGTACAGCTGCTAAGTCAGTTTAAACAAGCTTATGCAGAGACAATTGTGATTCAAAACCAGATAATAGTGGTAGAAAGGTAGATCCTAATTTGGAACCTTAAAAAAAATAAGTAAAGAGATCTAAGCTATATCCAAAGCAAGTTTCACCTTCCCAGGAAGCATTGGATAAAACACAAGTAAATAATTACTGCTACTTACAGCCAATCCAGATTATTTTATTTATTTATTTGACTTGAATGTTTCCCATCTTTTCTAGAGGCGACTTTGGGTGGCTTACAAACATTAAAAGCCGGTAAAACATTAAAACAATAAATCATAATAATATACAATTAAAAGATGGGGAGGAAGGGAGCAAGATGCACCTTGGGAGAAGCAGGTTGTTTTAATCCATTAGCCACCTCCACAGTGATGCACCCCATTAGGGTTCCAGGCCAATTGAAAGAGCCCTTCATGCCCTTATGGAAGGTCCAAAGGATGAGTGAGGATCTCACCTCAGGGGTTACATTTTCCAAAAGATAGGAGCCATGGCAGAAAAGGCTCTTCACCTAGACCTGGCCAGCCAAATTCCTCGACTGACAAGGTCCGTAGCATGTCCCTTCTGCTGGTGTGGGTAAAGGACGCCGATCCCATAGGGGTGAGATGGTTCCTCAGATAGCCTGGACCCATGCTATGAAAGGGCTTTAAAGGTGATAAACTACACCTTGAATTGTACCTGGAATCAACAGCCAGTGCAATTCACAGAATATCGGCGTAACATGGGCGATCTTAGGGGTCCCAAGAACTGCCTGTCCTGCCACATTTTACATCATTTGCAGTTCCAAATACTCTTCAAGGATAGTCCCATGTAAATTGCATTGCAATAGTTCAAATGTGAGTTGACATTAACTGTAAAATACTATTATAATTTAAAGATCCCTTAATGGACTAACAGGCTCCATTCTCTAGAGCAGGGATCCTCAACCCCCAAGTCCCTGGACTGGCACCGGTCCGTGGCATGCCAGAAACCAGGCCACATAAACAAGTGAAGCCCCATGCATGGGATGCAGGCAACATATGAAACCATGCATCCTCCAGGCTGTGGAAAAACTTTTCTCCACAGAACCGGTCCCTGAACCCCCCCCCACACAAGTCTTGAAAATGACTTAACCCCCCCTAAAGTCACTGCCTTAATCCTTTTACTCTACCCAGAATCCATACTTCAGAATATTTCAGACCTTTTTTTCTGTCTTTTTTTGGAACCTCTGTCCATTTTAATAAGGGTTTAATTGGGCAAGGGAAAGCCTTTATTTACCAATAGCAGTGTTGTTCCAAGATTCCTGGAAGTTATAATATAATTTACCTTTCCTTATTTTCTTGGACAAATTGCACCTTTGGGTTGGATTCTGGGTGGCAAGAAAATGCAAAGAGCTGATGCCAATCAAAATGTGATTGAGGCACATTTTGATAGGCATCAGACAGTATCAGATCTACTTAGTCCCTGCCATTTTGAGTGCAAAATGGACATTCCCTCCTGGCTGGGCTCGAAAAAACTGTCAGCTGGAAAAGCCAGTAATTAGCTGGGCACAGATGCGGCGAACTCAGCTTTAGGAATAGAGTCTCACACCCAGAAAGTTGTGGAGCATGGCCCATGAAGGCCAAAAGATATTCCCGGATAACAATCACTATGACCTCTATTAGGCCTTGGCTGATGCCAGCCATAAAACCCAGCTGGACACATTTCCAGAAATGTTCCTTCCTCTAGTGTCAGTCAGGACGTGGTGTTACATGCCAAGATTACCCTACTCTGGCTGATGGGGCCCACAGCATGCCTCCTCTGTTGGCATCCTGGGGCTGGCCAATCCCAGAGGTATGAGATGGTCCCTCAAGTAGGTTACTATAAAAAAAACTATAGGGCAGAGAGGAACATAATAAAAAGTAAATGCCTATAGCTTAATGTAGTCAAAAACTGGATAATAATTTGTAAATTGCAAACTCAGAGTGCAGCTATGCAAATAGACATTATTAAATAAATCTGCACAGAAACGATGCAAAACTGAATACTTTCTCCTTTGGATTGCAACAGTTATAATGCCTGTATATTTTATCTTCATTTCTCTGTATCAAGAGCAGCTATACTGTAGTAAGAAATGCATAGCATACAGTAATAGCTTAAGAAGTTGCTTATTATTTGCCATATTCTTCGTGATGTCATGCTCTGATAAGTTTAGCTGTTAAGAATTAGGTGACTGCGGTGCAAAACAAACAAGCTCAGCAGTTAAGTGGAACAATCATTAAGAAGTGCAACGACTTGTTGGGCTAACAATCTGAAAAAGCCAGTACTAAGCTAAGCAAACAGCCAAACAAACATTCAACAAAGGACAACCAATTCTTGATAAGACTGTGATAAGACTGATTCTGAGATCAGATCAAATTAATTTTAAGTTTTAATTTTATCAGTGAAAATAATTCAGATACATAGCTATTAATATACTTTTAGTAGGAAAAGCAATTGATTACTTTGCAGGTTGTTAGCTTGCTTATAAGTCAAATAAATTCAAGTGTTGGAATTGAAATGACACTCTGTTCTGGACGTCATCATTTCAATCCAGAAGGCTCTTATTCCAATACTAAATCAATCATCTGTCTCCTGGGTCTCATCATTCCAATATTACAAAGCATTGCTTCTCTAGCTTCTTTAATGTGGTCTAGTGCTGTGATAGCTTTCACTTTTTCATAATAATTTGACATCTGTGACTGATATAATTCCCAATGAATTTCTACATCTTTTTCAAGATGTATAGTCTTTTATTTTTGTAGCATATAGGGGAAAAGCATAGAAAGTGACAAGTAGCTGACAGAGAACTCTAAATGTGTTTAGAAGCAGCAGCACAGGATAAGTGAGATAGGAAACAGAACTACATGTTCTTTTAAAAAGCTAGAATTAATTGAAATGAACAATTTCTAACATGCATGTATAATTCATTCTCCAAAATGATTTAATGAGACTAGCAATGATAATTGAATGCCAATCCCAGCCTCTATGCATACACACTCAACCTGGAAAGAACTTTGAAAAAGCTATGTTTAATGTTCAGAACATCAAATGATATATAACCATCAATTCCAGCAACAGTGCTTCTGTGTGTGCTGATGTTTGTATGTTAATTGCCTTTTTAAGATCACAGCAGTCCATTTAAATACACTTCTAAAAAAAATCAAACAAAAACCACTTTCTTTTCAAATGTTATAAAGAACCTGACAGGGTAACTCTTATCAATACAGAAAATACAATCCAATATTTATGGTCACATTTAAAATGCTACATAAAATTTCTAAGCAAGTATGGAGGTAGAGGTTGTCTAGTGGTCCAGGTGGCCAAAAAAGATTGATGAAGGGAGGGAAGGAAGTAATAAAGAATGGTCTAACTACTGAACAATTACATTTATCTTACATGCTAGTAAAATAATATTCAAGGTTTGGCAATCCAGATTTCAACTATGTATGGAATGGCACTGTCAAATATATAAACTGGATCTTAAGAGTCAGAAGACCTGAGATCACACTGTTAAAATCTAGTGTTTAATGGAAAAAGTAAGGAATTTCACAAATATTTTGATCCCTGCTTTATTGATTATACAAAGATTGACTCTGTAGACCATTGGTGTAGTGATTAAGGCACCAAACTAGAAATTGGTAGATTGAGTTCTAGTCTCGCCGTAGGCATGGAATCAACTGTTGTCTTTGGGCAGTCATTCACTCAGCCCTAGACAAATCTGAAATCTTTCTAAGAGAACTGCAGGAACTCATCCAGGCAGTCGCCAAGAGTCAACAGTGACTCAAAGGGACATAAACAAAAGAATTATCCTTAAAACATGTCATCTTATCATCCTATACAGTAATTTGTTTGATTGCCAAAAAGCAACAGATGGAACAGAATACAGCACAGATAAATGATTCAAAACTGAAAAAAACAGAGTTTTAGGATTGTAAACTGTCTTCTAATTTATTTAGCTCATATGCAAAATATATAATAAGAAATCCTCATTAAAAACTGGAATTAAAATTGTTGGGAGAAATATAAACTTCAGATATGCTTTGTATCCATTGCCAAGGCCATAGTTTCCCAAGTTGTAACATATAGCAGGAGAAGTGCACCATAAAAAAGACTGAGCAAGAAAAATCTGATGCTGAAAATTGTTGCAAATAGATTATTCATTACCAGATGAAATAAAATTGCTTACTGGAAGCACTGATAATGAAGATAATGCTTCAATTCTTTTGACACATAATGAGAAGGCAAAAGTCACTGGAAAATACTTCCACTTAGAAAAATTGAAAGCAATAAAAAAGGCTGATAGGAGGCAAGATGATTAGATACTATCACTGATGATTTAAGCAGGAGTTTGTAAGAACTCAAGGGAGATGTTACTGACAGAAAAATGTGACGAATTTCTATTCATCATCTCACAGATATGAACTACAGCAAACAAATCTATAATAGTTGCTGGATGTAGCAGCTACTTTAGATAAAGTAGAAAAGGCCATAACCCCAGCCAATCAAATATCAAATATTTTTGATTTGGCATCCTAAAATAGACAGGTAATCCCAAACATATTAAGAAAGAAACTGTGGGTTGCTCCTCCAGTTTATAGACAAGATGACAGAGGTTAAACACCCTCCTTTTCAATATAAACCTCCAAATTACAGTAAGGTCACTTCTCTTCTTCCATAAAGGAAGCAGCCTATGTTGCCTATAATATTGATAAATGTTGCAGTATTATATTTTTCTAAGATTCTATTCAGCTTCAGATGTAACAAAATACTGCAGATTTGGCACACTGTTCCATTTCTTTTATATATGGGGATTTCCTTCAGATTGGATCCATCAAAATTACTTCCAAGGCAAATGACAGCAAATTTATCAGGAAATGTAGAACTTAAATTTCAGCTGTCAGCACAAAATCAATGACTTATTTTTTTGAGAACTATTTTCTCATAGTGCTAGATCCGAGCTTAAAGAAAGACTATCTAGAATGGACAAATGAGTAAAGCCAGCCACATAAAAGTACAACAATGGAAGTACAATCTCAGATATGTGTGTTCCTTATTTTCATTGGACAGCTCCCTATTTTGATCATCTTAAATCATGATCTGCTGGACAGCTCCTTAGCTTCTGCGACAAGAAATTGAATCACTTGGTGGATGTGGGGCATAGCAACCGGTACAATACAGTAGAATGTTGGGTATAAATCTGGAAGTCTTATGACGTTACCACAACTATTGTTGGCTTTGGCCTCCATTACTTTTTTTAAAAAGTAATCCTATTACCTTGGGACAAAAAATTCTCCAAATCAATTATACATTATAACTTTGATTGTTCCAAATCAAGTAACAATTAATTTAACTAATGTTTTCTAAAAGGATTTATTTAAAAAATACGATTGCAGCATATCTTGTTTCATAAGCTAAGGAGTTCTGAACAATAATTTTGCTCACAAATAAAATGCTCTAGATCTTTGATCAATTTATTGCTTTTCCCATCTCGTATAGACTTTTTGAAATAGAATATCCTATCCAAATCTGTAACTAGTAATCCAAATATAATGTACAAAACCATTTATTGTCAGGCATTATTATATATTTTTAAAAAGCCTTGACTGAGAAAAGCCCTTATACTGCAGCCTTCAAAAAAGACACAGCTAATGGATCCTAATATGTCCTGAGGTGCTATTGTTGTCTTTTATTTATAAAGATTATATTCTGAGTGAAAATCTTAATTACCAATTATGCATAATTATGTAAGATTTTTTGAAAGAGAATATTTCTCATGTATACTGTTGTTTCCCGTCCCTTACTCCTTCTGGTATCACAGGTGTGTGTGTGTGTGGGTGTGTGTGTACTGTATGTGTGTGTGTATATATATACACACACACATACATATACATACACACACACAGAGATGTGTATGCTAAAAAATTTTGATTGCTAACAAAGAGTTAAAGGGAGACTGGGATAGCAATCCCAAAAAATTTAGCACACAAATAATGTCGCGGTAGCGACTGCTGCCTGTGGATAGCCCTAGATTGGGCTGATACAGGCAAAAGATTTCTTCCTTCCATATTTGGGCCCAACAGGGTGCATCAAAAAAACACTCAAGACAGATGTGTATATATTTCCTTATTGAGGGAGGCATTCTGTTTAGATATTTTTTTAAAAAAAGGAAATTTCACTGGAATCACTCATCAATTGTACGACCTTAAATTACCTAATTTAACATTATGTGCATAAATCTATCCTGTAGAAGTTCCTCTCTTTTCATTTTTACCTCTACTTCACAGCCATATTCAGAGCCATCCAGAAGGATTACTTTGCACTGCATATTTTTTGGTTTTTTCACAATCTTTAAAGGAGATCGGGAGAGTTTGCTTGAGGATGATTTTTGAGAGAGTTTATCGTCTTCAAACTGCTGATATTCCAGCTGCTTTGCCACTGCGGCGGCAACTTCAAGTTCTTTGTCAGTGGCCTAGAAACAGAGGGAAATTCAATTCTTGTTTCAGAATAAAAATGGGCAATCAGAGCAGGCTTTCAGAATCATGGAGCATAACCAGGCATCTCTTTGCAGAAGCCTGTTCAGAACCCATTTTAAAATAAGCATATAAACTGTATTGTAAAAGAGATAAATCACTTATTTCATAAATTGTGAAGGCATTTTAGGCTAATGAAACCACTATTCTGCTGTTGTATAGCTTTTTTTTTTTTAGACGTGCTAAAGGAAACTGCAATATAGTCGCTCGTTTAAAAATAAAGTCAAATAACCTGAATAGAAAAGATCCAACACTGCAATGACTGTTAAACAGCCATGTTTCATTTCAGAAATCTAAGATGTTGTAATAGTCTGAAAATATGCTCCAAACCAAGTGGTTGCTCTTTTCAGTACCAACAGTATTGTTTTTTAAATAATGGCTTATATTTGTGTGATATATTAATCATGAAAAATAAATTCATACTGACTTCAGTAAATACTTTACTTTAGAGCCAGTCCAGTAACATGGAACAAAAAATACAAGCAAAATCCAACAACAGATCTAAATTATGTTAGATATTGGAGATCATCTCCTTTTCATAACAGCTAATGGACTGAAAAATAATTTTGGGGGGCAGACAATTGGACTCAAATTACCCCAAATATGTGTCTGAAATAAATTTAAAAACTTCTAATATAATTTCCCCGCTTTCCACATTAAATGCTTATCATTATAAAATTTTAGTAAAAATAGCCTTAAAAGAAAAAAGCAACACTGAGCATTTATTTTGTTTTGTTATACTTTCTAGAATCCATTTTGATTTCTCTGAGTAACAATGTGCTGCCACTCCCAGCAAATGTGCTACCTCTCTCCAAATGAGCTGGACTACCATTTCTATAAAATTCTCATGGAAGGCTACTGCAGCTCAAAATGATGCATGCTATAACATTTTATTTCTAATGCTTGTTGCTATAATAATCCTAATCTCTAACACATTCGGTTAGTGCCATATTGAGGAAGGGTGATTTCCTAAATAACTTGCCTGTTCCTTTTTTACAGGAGTGCTATGGGCTGCAACACTGGGAAATTGTTCTAATGCATTCTGGTGCTCTTCCTTCACTTGCTGTGGCTGCTGTTCTTGGGTTGCTTTTTCTTGTTGCCCAGATGTTTCTTCCTGCTCTTGATCCTGATCTTTGGATTCAGAGTCTGAACCAGATTCTGTAGTCATAGTTGATTATCCTACAATAAAAGGAAGAATCGTGAGATTCAGAATTGTAACAATCTAAAAAATATACCAAAAAGGTTGATTTATAAAATATCTATATATAATACTATTTATACCAATATTGTTACAAATATCACACTATAGTTCACTGAACTAGGATCAGTTGCAGGTGAGGAACAAGGGATTCCTTTCCATCTAGTCACTATGTCCAACTCTACCCTCCCTTCACATGGAGTTAATCTGAGCAAGGCCTGGATAATTTATTTTAAATGCAGGATGTTCCTAACTCCAGTTACTGAAAGTACCAGATAGAAATTAATTTGCTAGGGCCACAATGCTTGTTCAGAATTGCAAAATACAATAAAAACCAATCAGATAAACAATAATTCTTCATGATTATCTTTGATATCTCAGGAAAATCAAATATCCGGTTCTGCAAGTATTCCTGCTGTTGGAGAATATATCTCTAGCTGCATGAAGCTATCTGCCTGAAGAGGGAAATATATGAATTGGCTAGAGAATCTTCAAATTCCTTTTATTCCGATGTGAGATTTGCAGAGAAGTAGTACTGGCATTAATTTTAAAGTTAGTTCAATGGTCTAAACTAGCCAGGGTTTTCCTTTTATACAAGGAGCCATACTCATGATTGCAAATACAGTCTTGCTTCAGACCTCCTGCCTGAAGGAGTATAGTCTGGGGAGAGGTAGGGCAGTGCTAAAGCACAGCCTTGAGTCTTCAACCTTCTGTGGCACTCAACTGCTGCACACCCACGTTTATAGAGCTTTCTAGATTAGGCAGGGTGCAGTACAAGTTGCAGTACTAGCATGACATGTATGTGAAGGAAAATATTTAATTCCAATATACAACCATGAGAAAGTGCAGGATATGCACTTAGGCGAAGGACTAAGTAACAGAATAGGTGCAACAGGATAGGGGTGAAAACTGCGTAGCTAAATTAAGAGCGAGGGAAAAAGAGAAATGTGCATGTGCTATGTTTATCAGCTGCCTGCCATGGAGTCTTTGTATACCAAAAGGCCAGTCAGAATTTAGAGAAGGACACATGTGGGTGACAGATAACGCCAGAGGCAATGGGATGTTTGAGAGGAAGGCTCAGAAGCTGAGATTCCTCAATGTGCATGCATATGCTAGCTTGATTGGGCAGAACAATTATGAGAGCTCCGGAGAAAGAAAGAGCAAGACAACAATGCAATTTCTACACATACAACATATTTACCAGTGGCTATAATTATAAATAGCCTTCATGGGAAATCTGTGAGGGTTGTTTCTATCATGGTGGACCAGGCTCAATAATAAGAGTACTTGGCCACGAGGTAAGATACCAAAAGTATCAAAGCAGCTGAAAGATCTACATCTATTTACATATCACAGGCTTGTTACTGTGGAGAAAAATAAGAGGGAGTCCTAAAAATACTACTCAATGCTCCTAAACCAGAGGGTTATAAACCTGAAGAATAAATAAACTATACAATCCAAAACATTTCATATAAAATCAATACATCATAGTTTCTATCAAAGTCTATTCAGAAATACAGTAAATAGTTGTGGTTATGGAAAACATTTGAAGGACTGTTTCAAGACTGTTTCAATATTATAGGCATCAGAATCATCTGGGATGCTTGGCATAGCTGCTTTGAAGACTCTCCCACATTGTCCATGTCTAAGTTTCCATGGACATGGAAAAGTTTAATAAGTAGTTATTTGTGCATGTGCTTGTGGAAATACTGTAATCCAGAAAGGCTTTCGAAATAACAGTGAAAGCTGACTCAATATTTTGAAGGGATAATTGATGAAGTGCAGTTGGATAGGAACATACCAAACAATTAGATCAGCGATTTTTCTGTGTTAGAATATTTTGAAAGGAATGGGTGGAATTAATGTATATTTTTTTTGCCAGGGTGTCTTCCTGCCCAGAAAGAAATTGAAAGGGTTCTGTAAGAGACCTAAAACATCTACTAATCTTTTTCCTTACATTCCTTTCAAAGAAAATACCTATGTCTCCAGGGGAAATGATTGTTGCACTGAATTCAAGGAATGCTAGGGCTAAGGCTTTATATATGGACAGCAAAAATTCTTTACATTATAGGTGAAAAGATTTCAAATTTTTCTAGATTTCTTTGCTGCTCCCTAGTGGCCATTCCGGGTTTTTTTTTCAATTCAGGAGGCTTGTTCTGAACCCCCCAGTTTCCATCATCAAAAACATTCAGAACTGTTTTGATGAGAACACTAAACATTAAACTTTCATATTTTGTTTCACTGAACTGCAGCTAAATTGAAACAGTTGGATGCACTTTAGGGCTTGCAGCATTTTATTTCAAGCTCTAAACAAACCAACCAACAAAATACTTTTTGTGCACAACCTTTCCTTGGAAAGCTTTGCATATCTTTGATAATAGTTCAAAATCATTTGGTCTTTTCAACTGAACCATGAACACATGAATTCATCTATGGGTGTTTCTGGGTAACAGAGAAATGCAAATAATTAAATGGACATGGACAACAGCATTGGACCGCCTAACACTGAGATATATTCTTTCTTACATCATGGTATTATCATGCACTGTATCAAAACCACATTTAAAAATTATTGTAGGCAAACAAATGCAGAGGATCATGTTTTCAGCCATTATTAAAACACAGCAAAAATAAAGCTTTGTCCTCCAAAGCTACCAGTACCTAAAGGTTCTGTCTACTGCAACTGACAGGATGAGGTCAAACTGCAGACACATTTCTTGCAAACATTACAGCAGAGCTTGATATAATACAGAGGTCTGTATGTACTTTTGGTATGGTCGGTATTTTCTTTTTCTTTTTTAATTATAAGTTGTCCAAGTCCTTCTTTTCTCCCTAGCTAAGAACAAATTAATGACAACCACTTTATGTTCTATTTCTTCTCTCTATGTCTTTTTAATCCATCACTAAATCTCAATTTACTATTTCTCAAGCATCAAAGTTTTTCAGGAATATGGCAACCTGTGCCCTATTATTTTCACATTGCCTTCTTTCCTTTTATAATACGTAGAAAGAAAGGTGGAGATCAAAGTGGGACTACTAAAACAGCACATCAGCCCATGTACCATGGTATGAACATGTTAATTATAAAAATTAAAAATATATAATTTGGATGGTTCTCTGAACTGAAGTTATTCCTTAATTTCTGAAGGGCAATTAATAGATCAGGCAAAGGGATTTCCTAACTCTGAAAAAAACATTAATTCCTCACTTGTTCAGATATCTATGCAAATAGATAGCGCATAGTAACACTACACACAATGCCAATACAGAGAACATATTCATAGATGTATCATGAATGGTATGTATCAAATGGTATGTATCAAAAGTATCAATTTGCTAAGGGAAAAGCTGACTGCATTTTCCAGCATTTTTGTTCTTATTTTACTACAAGAATTTTGGAGATTCCAAATTTTATAGCCCATACAATGTACCAGCTTTGCATTATATTGTAATATAATATAATGTAATAAGCAATACTATATGTTGCTTAATTCTGCTTAAATAGTACAGATATCAGAAATTCCTTTTTAAAAAAAAATTTGGGGGGAATTTGAGGGGGATGAAAAACTGATGTGCAATATAAAATTCTATTTTAATATGGCAAATGTCATTAAGTCAACATATTGTTAAAATTAGAAGTCACCAACAGACATTTCACCAAATAACAATAAAATAGCATGCATGAAAATGACATTTTTGCTTTTATAAGATCAACTACCATACATGCAACTGAAACTGTGTATTTTATATTTTGTACTAAATTTGATAATGTATTGCATAAATCTGCCTTTTGATTCTTTTGGTAGCACAACAAAACTACTCCCATCTTTTGTGGATTTCAAGAGCTCTTAAGACATAATGAGACCTCACATGTGGGATTGTTAGGTCTATAATTTATTAATATGATAAGAGTAAACAGATGTCCATTAGAAATTTCTGTATGCTAGGAGCTATGCAATCTAGTGGTTCTGCTGCAAATAAGTACATTAATAAGAATTACTCAGACTTGTCACTTCTGGTAATATGCATGCATGGATATTAATAATTTAGTCAAGGCACAAAAGATTTTTTTCAACATGAGAAAAAGCCATAACTTGAAAAATTAATATCATCAGGATTGTCTCTGTAAATAAATGCATATAAAATAAAAATATAACGGCCATGAGTATAAGCAGACCCTATCATAATCATAGTGGGTTTATTCTATGGTTTCACTTTCTACTGTTATTACTTAATGAATATCTTTTGGGCTTTGCTGACAAGCAGGTGAAAATCACTTTGGATTAAAATCAGATTAATGTTCAGTCTTTGGTATTATTTAAGGGGAAGCCTTTTCTACTGTATTATTATTATGTGTATCTACGTTAAGCTTTTGTAAAAATCCAAAGACCAAATGAAGTCACTTGCTTAGCAGTCAGAATTCAAAACAGCTTTCCTTCTACCCTAAGTTCACTACACAGATCTAACATAATGAAAATAAGGAATCCATGTCAGACATTACCTCAAAGGGAGAGCTGAGTCAGGACATTTCATACACTTAGCAAGCTGTAAATTTATGTTTCTTTATACAAGTGGGCGGTTATTAAATCAAACCCTTTCATGTTATTTTAACAGTCTCAGCCATCTACAGCACAGCACAGATGCATCACACCATCTCAAATGCTATATCCTTTAATCTGCCCAGAAGAAAAGCAACAGCTTTTCCTTAAATCCTGTCCTGTTTGGGTACCTTCAGGAGAATCATTTCTTTCTAAAAATTCCAATTACATTCTGAAATTAGACAATTACAAACACAATTTCTACAATGACACAATTAGCATATGATTATATATTATATAATTATCCTGGAAGAATGTTGTCCATGGGGTCGTGATGGGTCGGACACGACTTCGCAACTAACAACAATCATTTTTTTACTTGGTATATTTATTTGTATCTTATTATATTATTGGAAAAGACAGTACTTTAAAAC